CCATACGACGTACGGGAATGAGTTATCAGCTGTCTAATCGTAGACAACACAATGTCGAGCCTTAAACTGTAAGCCCGTATTGGTATTGTTTCTTTTATTTGGCTGTCGAACATTATTTATGGTTTGAAATATGATTTTATGTAAAATAATTGATATGAAAAAGCCGTCTTATAAGTTATGACCCCATTTCACCACACGCAAGTGGCAGAAATGACAATGATCAGCTGACGCATTTTTCTTGGCCGAAGTCAGAGCGCGCGGCCCGACGCACCACGCGTATTTGGAAATTCCGACCTCGACGAGCATCAGAAGCCACCTAACAGGCGTGTTCGAAACCGCAGGAGATGATGATGAACGGGTTTATCGAAACTTGATTGGATGAGCATATCGGTAATAGCGATTTCAGTGTGTGCATTTATTGTTCATAGTGGTGTGAAATGTGGTTGGGGTACGACCGACAACCCGTCGGGGCGAATTTCGCACTGGGGTACTCAAAATTTGAAGAATTTAAGACGTTTCCATGAGTTTTGAAGGTATGGATAAGTTCTAAAAATCCGGTTCTCCTTATCTGGGCCATTAACTCCATACGGTCCAAGAAAGCTGGCACACTACCTTTAAGTCGCTGACCTCGGGTCAGCACACTGCCGTGTATTTGGCTCCGCGCCCCGACCGGGCGGCCCAGCCGACAGCCAGCCCCCGGGCATCACGTGACCGCTCGAGTCCGCGGCAAAGCCAACCAGCGCGGCGCTGGACAAGTTGTCCAGCGCCGCGCTGGTTGGCTGTTTAACAGCGCCGCTACATAGATGGTTAACTTAACAGTCGGGTCAAGCCACGAAGCTGAGTGAATGAGATCATATTGCACATCATTCGATTCGCAATGCCTTTCCGAGTCCATTGGTAGCTTTCCCGTCTCTCTAGCTCAATTTGATCGAGAGTTATTGACGAAAAACTCTTATGACCCTAGTGACGTACGAATGACGTCACGAAAGATCAACAATGCAAAAGTGAGGCGAAAATGACTTCAACTGAGCTTTCAGTAACCAGTGATGTCACTAGGCAGCTTTACCACACCATTTATAGGCTCTTTTCCGAAATCACAATTCGAGACCATTACGGTGACGCAAAATAAGTACATTTAGGTATAGAAAGAACACCTTCCTAATTTTTTGCATACTACTTAAAAATGATCCAAAAATGTTTTTAAGTAAATAAAAATTCAAAAAAAAATGGTCCCAAAGGCATAAAAATGCAAATTAAAGGAAACTCGAGGTGTTATATATCAAAAATAGTATATATTTCAAAATTTTGAAAATGCATATTATTCTTTGTTTCAATGCAAGTTTAATGCCGTATAGCATTTGGCATTTGGATTATCCGTCTTAGAGTTACAGCCCGCCGAACTTGGGGCTGCAACGCAAGATCCAAAACATGTTATACACTATAACTCAAAAACCACTCATCTGATAAGCTTGAAATTGTTACAGGAGGATTCAGAGCCCCTGATTACCCCTTAGACCAATTATCGTTAAAATCCGAGAGATGAGGGTGTCAAATTCGAAAAAAGTGGTACGATCTATCGTGGAATGCCCCACCTACCTCAGGAATTTTAGTAGTTCGTCGTAGTAGGTTATCAACCTGTCGAATAAATGGCCCGCTACTTTGCTGTTTTTCTATTAAATATTATATTAGTTCATTTTTTCTAAGGGTTTACCACTCACGTAAACCTAAAGCGTAAGCACGCTTATGAAACTCTCATGTCTATATAATGAAATAAATAAGTGATTTGATAGCCAACAGCGGACTACAACTTTTACAAATATTTTGAAGGCAAAAGACTTCAGTTGTAGGGATTATAAGGCCTTAACCCGCGCCCCGTAGGGGGGGGGGGGCGGCGAAACGACCCCCTGTCCTTTTCCGTGGATATATCCTAAACGGTGGGAAAGGCAACTCTGATTCTTCTTTGACTATACTGAGGATGGAAACGATGGAACGGAGGCGTCCGTGCCTCGTGGTCAGGGCCTATTTTAACATGTTAACTGGGGGGGGGGGGGCAAATGCCCACGCACTCAACAGAATTGCCCCCCCCCCCCCCAGTCGTCGAGATTTGCCCACTATAGAAATGGACATAAAGGAACAGGGTGACAAACATACTACTGTGACTTTTTTGCAATGGATGTTAAATGAGTCAGTCTGCAAGTAATGACCAGTGGTGGATCCAAGGGGTATCCAAGGGTCATAGGGGTCATGACCCCCGCCCCCTTGGGGCCCGGGGACACCACAGGCCTGCCAGGGGCACCACCGGCCTGTCAGGGGCACCTTGGGCCTGTCAGGGGCACCACGGGCCTGTCGGGGGCACCACAAGTTTGTCAGGGGCACCACAGGCCTGTTGGGAGCACCATCGGCCTAGCAAGAGCACCATAGGTCCTGCCAGGGGCACCACAGACCTGCCAGGGGCCCCACCGACCTCGCAGGGGCACCACCTTGGGCCTGTCAGGGGTACATACCACCACAGGCCCGCCAGGGGCACCACCTGCCTGCCAGAGGCACCACAGGCCTAGCAAGGGCACCACGGACCTGTCACTTGTCAGTGACACCACGGGCCTGTCGGGGGCACCTCAGACTTGTCAGGGCCAAGGGACACCACAGTCCTTTCAGGGGCGCCATAGGCCACAGGCCTGTCAGGGGCACCAGAGGCCTAGCAGGGACACCACATGCCTGGCAGGGGCACCACCGGCCTCGCAGGGACACATTGGGCCTGTTAGTGGCACCACGTGCCTGTCGGGGACACTCCAGGCTTGTCAAGAGCACCACAGTCCTGCCAGGGCCCAGGGGCACCAGCGGCCTAGCAGAGGAACCACCGGCCTAGTCCCTGCGTGTCCCTGCGGCAGGGACACCACCGGCCTCGCAAGGGCATCATGGGCCTGTCAGGGGCACCACGGGCCTGTCGTTGGAACTTCAGGCCCCCAGGGGCACCACAGTTCTTTCAGATGCACCGGCGGCGTAGCACCATGGCACCATGTTTGGCCGGGATCGCGATTCGGCGTATGTCGCCTCGCATTAGCCGCGCGTTTGCCAGTCTTTTCGTGGTTTCAAACGTTCAAACATGGACTATGATGTTGCTCCCATGCATTAGGGTGGATGTCAAGGTCACCGGAAGGTCAGGTCAGGTCATTTACCCTTGATGACCTCGGTTCACATTTCCGAGTATTATGTTTCTAGGCTAGTTTTTGGAGCTGAATTCGAATTTAGCAACCATTTGACCGTTTACGAAGTAGTTTTGGTGCCTTCGTAACATGTTACGAAGCTGTCACAGGCGGTTGCCACCTACTACGAATACCCGGCAAAACCCTTACTGGTTGACCTGACCTGACCTGACCCGACCTGGCCTAAATGCATGAAGACATCATCTATGATCATAACTAACATAATATTCGTCATCAGCACCCCGAAAAAAAAAACATAGCAGCCACCCTTTACGACGCTCTAACAGGTCCCGATTTTCCCGACTTTTGGGTCATTGACCTGACCTGGAAGGTCAACCGATAACCTAGGACCTTAAAATTGGGTATCATCGGCTTCCTTTCATCACGGGCAACACGGCCGTTTTTTTCCCGAAGCTCTAGCTCGATCAGGGGTGAAACGGCAAGGGGGGGAGGGTCCAACGGACCCCCCCCCCCCATATACGTTCGCAGCTGGAAAACACCAATTTGGGTGAGGGTTTAATGGATTCTTAAAGACAATTTTCCAGGTTGCCCCCCCCCCCCCCCAGTCAAATTCCCTTAAAAGAGGCTCTGCCCGTGGTAGTGGGACAACGAACGTCTTCAGCGATTAGCATGGATGAAGGCGTGAAGCGGCATATAATGCCTTGGATGAAACCTTCAACTCACTAGGTTAGGTTAGGTGTTAGGTTAGGTTTTCAGCGAGTGTCGTGCGATGCAGTCTGTCTGCCTATAGGCGCTCTACAATAGTCAATAGAGACATCTAGCGGGAGAGTGGTCGTAACGAATCGGGTGTAGTGCGGTACAGTCTAACTACAGGCGCTTACGCTCGAGACATCTAGCGGGAGAATGCTCAGCGTGATCGGTTTTGGCGGTGATGGCGGTGATGGCGCAGTTGTGACGTTTCAATTTTCAATGATTGTATGGACGCCGGTGAAAACAGGGCGCCGGAGGGCATATTAGTCACGTGACATTTGGAAGTTCTCCCCCTACACGGGCCTTCTACATGTAAAACATCACGTGTAAATTTGACGAACCTTGATCAAATCGCCCCAGGCGCCCTGTTTTCACCGTCGTCCGATTGTATGAGTGTTTATGGCCTTTATGGCCTATACCGTGGAGATTAGTTGGCTTGTTAGTTTGAGATAAGTTGAAGTAGTGCAAGCGCAGGTAAGTGTGTGGGAGAGAGACTTCGCCCTCCTCTTATCTTTAGATGGCCTTGCTTCTTATCATGTTCTTATCCAAGGCAGGACCCCTTATCTCAATTCTCAACCTTATCTAGTAATGCTACACTCTGACTTTCAGTGATCGTCTAGGAAATTACGTGCGTGAAATACAGGCCCGTGATTGCCAGATTCCCTTGATATTGGTTTATCATTATGCGATTTTCCAGAATATCCGTGAATTATTGGATGTTGATGTAATCATAACAACTGATTGGTGATTTTGTAACAAACACCTAAGTTTGCCATTTTTTATATTATTTTATCCATGAATAACTTGTTTTGTTAGTAAAACATCAATAACACATGAAAATTTAAGAACCAATTATTAATTACGTCACTTGGATTCATATGTTGCGCCACCAAGTGCGCCAACAACTGTCTCATTATACAATCTCGCAGATTCTGCGAAAAAGTTCGTAGCTCTGAACCGCTCTGAGCTTTATATCGGTACAGAACATCCTGATCGTCCTGACTATCAGGCATTTCCTGTACTGAACGTCTGTGATTTCCATGACTGAATCTGTGTACCCCAGTGTAGCTGACCCTGTGTATTTCCTATCAGCTGAACATCTGGGTACCGATTTTCTGCAAAATCGGCAAACTCGCAGATAGCGCACATAATTTTCTGGACGATTTACGCATAGTGTAGCTCGGCCTTTAGGAAGTGAAAATTTGTTTTATGTCAGGGTGGCTACGTTTTTGTGAATTGTGAGTAATGCCGGATGATAGTTGCATCATTTGTTGCTGACAAATAAACTGATCTGGTAATTGGCATCCATTTCCCCCTAATTTCATAGGTGAATGAAAACTTTCTGAGGTTACTGAAGCATCGCCAAGAAACAACAGCAGGTTAGCAGTCTGCTGATAAAAAAAAAAAAAATTGTGACCAAACATAATTTGGTCAGTGCTTGAAAGTTGAAGCAGGGTGCAAGGTAGTGTAAATATTCCTCCCTAGGCTCGTGTAAACTGCAACTCACTGGTTTTCCTTTGCAATCTAGATGTATATCCATCCACATGAAACCATGTTCAGTTTTACTAACCCTGTTCCACGTTCTTCTGTCACCAGACTGTGAGACGTGAGTGGACCTGGTGACCATGTCGGCACCACCGCCATCATCAGGCGACCCGGGCGCATTCCGACCGGGTGCCGCTGCTGCACCCTGTTCACAGATTGAGCTGTCTATTGCCTGCAGGTGAGCTGATGGAGGCCAGCAGTGATAAAGGCCCTTCCACAGTACATGGCTCAGCAGTGCTGTGCTGCAGTGTGCATATTTGGTGGTGAATCATTTTCAAACCTTTGAAACTGATATATTTTGCAGAGCACTAAAGTAGGATGTTTGGTTGGTGCGCTTCTATTTAGTTATATTGATATAGACTTGTGTGGACTTTTTTATTCTTTCGTCTGGTTTAGAGTAGACTTACTAGTTACTTCTGCTTCATTTTCAATGTTATGCTTGTGAGCTCATGGCTTACTTACAATGGGCAAAATCGCAAAGGAATGGACGGACAGTTCTTCGAGCAACAAGGCAGGAAATAAGAGTTACTGCGGAGAAAATGACATCTGATGAAGAGCAATCGTATATCCCCCTTCCTCAACACCAGCAACCTCAGTTATGATGTTTACACTACCACACAGGATCGAGACCTCAGCCAGGAAAATTATGTGGTATCCAAGCTGCATAGCCCATGCAGACTTCTAGTGTTTGCTGTATTCTCGTCCTGGAGAATAGCTGCAGCACCATTGACTTTGTAATGATGAAAGTCCATATGTTTTAGGAAATGCCACACCAAAACGCAGAATGCTCACATAATCGTGATGAAGCGGTCCACTCTCACAGTGCCCAACTCAGGACGTCAATTTTAGCAAGACCTGCTTTAGTAGTAACTTTATTTTTAAACAAAATTTGACCATTTTAAGAAAGTGCTGGAATATTTGGTGCCGTAAATTGGACAAAATTTGGATCAGCGGATGGAGTCACTTCGTAAAGGGTCGTCGAAACTGCAAGTACGCCGATACAGCTGCAGGATTCCTGGAACCATAGCAACATTAAGACGCCTTTTGGGGGGACAAACGATCGAGTGCTAGAGTGCGAGGGCCATGCGGAGAGTGGGGTTCTGGTGGATTTGCGGTCGGCGTTGTGCAGGCTTAGGACGCACGCTCATGGGGAGTGGTATAAACGGCTCCAGTAGACCCGTTACCTTTTCTAAAATGGCACACGCCAGGTGGACTGGGTAACCTTTTCGCCATAGGGGCCCTGTTTCACCGGTGAAAGCAGCACGTTACTATCAAATTACGCGAGCTGACGTAATGTGATGAGGTCACACTAATGACGTTTCGTGTAATCCGTGAGCTGCGTTTGGAACAGAGTTGCTGTCTCGTTGAATTGCGTTTGATACATTTGTTTGATCGCACGGCCTTGAAGATGTTAGCAGCAGTATTTGATGACATCACACAGATTGACGGCGTCATGACTTGTTGATGTTTCCATGGAAACCCAATTTGACACGTGTAATAGCAGCGTGCTGCTATCACCGGTGAAACAGGGCCAGGAGCGTCGCACCTCGGCCACGCACCGGCACTGGAGGTGCTGCAGGAGAAACCGCATGCTGTCGTCCGGCCCATGCAACTGACGGGTCTCCTTCGCCAGAGGGAGGCCCGATGATCGGACGGCCGCACATCGCTGAACATGAGAAGAATAAGGAGAGTGCCGAAGGCGCTAGGCTCTCCAATGGCTAAAAGGCGCCGCTAGGACCCTACAATCACTGCATCGGGCTGCAGAACGACGTCGCGTGCTCGAAATGCGGGGAATCGGATGAGGAAAGTAACTCTTCCACCCGAGTGTCGGCTGCTCAGTTCCCCGCCCAGTGGCTCCGAGAAAAAGGATCATTTATATGATTGAGACTATTCAACCATAAAGTTGTTTTCATAGGGCGCCTCAAAGTAAACACGCTGGTGGAGTTGCTACTTGCTAGGGCTGGGACGCCTGTAGCGCAGAAAGGACGGAAACCATAGACGAAAAACAAATTCCAGCCTGCTCATGGCACCTTTGGCATGTAGCATTGGCAATTGGCATGTAATAGTGGCCTCAAAGGCCAGTGTCCGCTAAAAAGCCTTCTGCCTAAACGACCCCCCAGTCCGCCCTCACCTCTCTCCGCAACAGTTCAGCCGTCCAGAGCTCTCTGCTGAGCTGGAGGACTCTCCGAGAACTGTCAGCCGGCCACCTGCAGTGAATACCCTCGTGCTGCCGCCTGGAGTATAATTGAGCGTTGACGCAATTGCCTGAAAAGCGAGCGCCGTCGATTAGACAAGCGTCCCGGTGGACGTTCACTTCCAGAAGGCTCACCGGAGGGCTGTTCACGGGCCCTGTGTGCGGTCGGACCGCACACTCCAAGCTCCGCCCACTGCGTCCCTACGTCAGCCTTCCGTCACCGCACACAGCGACCGCTGTGGCCGGTCGGGACCGGCCACAGGAAACCGTCCACCGCACGCAGCCGTGACGTCAGAACCGCCTACCCATCCCCTAACCCCACGCTTGCTGGACCCACCGCACACACCGCACGCAGCAGTGTGCGGTGCCCGTGAACAGCCCTCGGGCCGCAGCCGCGCCGCAGCCGTAGGCGAGGGCCCGCACCATCCAGACCTAGCCGGCCGGATGGTACAGACAGCTGATGGGCTCACTGCTACCACCAGCCATCGCTGACGGCGACACGGCGGCTGCTGCGTTAAACGTCCACCAGCTCCGAGCTGGTCAATGGCGGAGTGCGAGCAGTGCAACGACCGGCACTGCAGATCAGCGTCCGGTCCCGTCTGTCGGGAGGAATCACAACCCCCTTCCAAGCCCTCCTGCGCTGCCCGGCGCTACTATGTAGGTACTCGTGTGTCCCAGCCTGAAGGAGGCGGGGAGCGGCGAGCGTGCCCGTATAGTCGACTACAGAATGATGTTCCACTTTTCACAGGCAATTATTTGCCTGGAGTGGTAGGCTGTGCCGCATCACACGGGCTGAGTTCACAAATTATAGCTTTGTCCCAATGCTCACAATCGACACGCTTAATTGCGTGATAAGTGGCACAACTTAGTGCTCCGGTCAACTGATAGCTTCTGAGGAGTGGAACATCATTCTGTAGTCGACTATACAGGGTGTCCCATAAGTTCGTTCTCACATTTAATTTCCATGTGAAACAGAGTACATTGCGTTTTGATATATTTATGACCCCTCAATGTGCTCCCCATTTAATAGGCAAACACATGAACACATGCTGCGGCATGCCAACCGGCATGTTTGGCTGCATAGCAGGCTTAAAGTTAATCCAGACTGACTTGACATGCGCCGTGAGCTCCTCGAGGCTGGAACAGCACTACGCTTCGACGAGCCTCAATTTCAGCACAACCAACAAATTTTTATGAAATTTTGATCCGATGAGGTGCCTGGCATGTGGTCTTGCCACAAACGCCTGTCACAGTCTCCTTGCACCGTTTTTAAGCCTTGCTTGACCTGTGCACTGATGCACTGTCTTGCCTGAAGATGAGCCTACGACCTCTCGGATGCCATTTTCTCCTCTATAAATGTGTTCATACTCGCGGTTCGAGTTCAGCTTGAGGGTTGAAACTCCTCCTAGATTTTCTTGGAAAAGCATTATGCTTCCCAAAGCTGTTTCTGGGACACCAATCGCAACCTGGTCAGCGTCTGGACGCCTATAACCCCACAATACCGTGACCTTGGCCTTTCGCATAGGAACATACGGGACGAAACGGAGGCCTCCTCCTTCGCCCTTATGGGGTTGTTTTCGGGTTTGGACGGGTGTTTCATCTCGAACGTGGACTAGTTAGTCCAGATGACGTGGTTGATGTTCTCAGCCCTTTAGTTTTTTTAGCCTCAGGCATAACGAAACTCATGTTTGGCCATTTTAAGACGTTTTTGACTGTTTTGAGCCCTCCGGTAAGCAAAGCTTAAGTCACCTTGAGTTATGTACCCCGTAAGAACAATTTTAGACAGCTGGTAATCCATCCTGAAAAGTCTGCTTACCAACTTTCTAGCTCTTTGACCTTTTTGATGGCCACTTTGGCGCCACACAGTTTTGGCCACATGGCTCACTCCTGAGAGCTGACAAAAAAGAGGATAAACTTGCAATGATTGACTCCCGACAAATCATCGGTGTCACTTGCTGACTGTGCGTCCAGTTAGCGATGGACATTGTCTACAGACTGGTAGGCCTCAATCACCCTCAATCGTCGCGAATGGTCACGTGCTGACTAAATACCGAGACGTACCCGTATTGGAGACCTCTATGTTGCGGCGTTAGTCGTCTGTGTAGGAAACGGGCTCTCTAGCAAAAACTATTTTGTCTACAGAAATTAGATACTGTGGAGCATATTTCTACCAGCCATGGCAACCACGTAAGCTCAGTAACGAACCAATTTCAGCGTGCCTTTAAGCAAGAGAGCCTAAAAACGTAAAATTTAGGTGAGAACGAACTTATGGGACACCCTGTACATGCCCAAATCCAATGCTCATGATGTCTTATGTTGTCGGCTTATGTCGCCCTACCTATTTATTGTGCAGTCTGGTAACCATTGCATTGGTGATGAAACGTGTCGCTGTCGATATCGCAATATACGGCTCTAATAAAACATTTTTATTTTATTTTAAAAAGAAAATAAATAAGCAAAAAAAAAAACACGAAAACGTCAAAACAAAGCTCTTGCCAGGCCAGTTGTGGCTTTGACTCAAGTGACAGTCCAAACTGTCACTTGAGGTTTCAAAGAAAAACATTGCATTTGAGATTTCAAAATTTTCGGGCCCATTCTGGATCAGACTGATTTCGTGTCCAATCCGGGTTCATGTTATCTATGGGAAAACCAATGGGGATCAAAAGTGTTGACAAATTTTGAATATCACTGTGCTTACGGAGATAGCAACTTCCTTTTGCTTGTATTTTGGTTTGTGTATAGGTAAGTTGTTACTTTCATCTGAACACTGTTGTGCTCTATATTAATGACAGTAACTGCAGTATACCGTCAACTCTTAGGGAATGCCTTCATACATGATTAAAGCAGTTTTATCATCCTAAAATTGTATTACTTTTTTCTTACAGTGGCTTGAGAGATCTCGACATTACATCCAAGTCAGATCCCTGCTGTATTCTGTACCTGGCCGAGGGCACCGGCGGCAACTTCTTTGAAGTCGGCCGAACCGAGGTCATCAAGAACAATCTTAATCCGGAGTTTGCGACAAAGTTTCAAATCAGCTACAAATTTGAAGAAAAACAGGTATGTTGGCATTAACTCATATCTTCAGATAGTGATGCATGATTTTCTGTCGTCTCGCTTTTTCACTAGTGAGATTTGGATAAAATGATGTTTTTATGGGTGCCCGTTAAAATTCGCTAATGAGAGTGAGTGGGGTGTTTTGCAATTTGAGTTCTTGGCTGACATTGTCGTGAGACCATATGTTCAGCTATCAATGTGTGTAGGTATGTATGTATCTATTGTATGTACTATGTATGCATGCATGCATGTATGTCTGTACGTATGTATGTAATGACAATGACATCAGAGCCTCCCACATATAGCGTGGCTATTACGGCTTACGTACCTAACTTACCTAAGCTAGTTTTACCAATACTTATGAGCATATGCATATGCTTATATTGTATGAAAAAATGTACCTAAAGTTAAACTGATCGCTTTTTATTTATTCTATCCATTCATCATTCTTTACTTTGTCTGTCATATGCCTTCCTTGCCACGGGGCTCACGTCTGTCTGCATACAATGTGTTTGCATATCTTGTGTATCTTACCTTCAAGGTAAACATCACAAACTCATGCCTAAAGTGCCGACTTTAAAAGCATCACCGACTCATGCCGACCCATGCACGACTCACGACCGTCTATCCACGCTGAGTTACATCTGACGCCTGTCTCTGCAGCTGCTGCGATTTGAGCTGTACGACTGGGATGTGAAGGTGTCGGCGACGAGCGAGCAGGACTTTCTCGGCAGAGTGCAGTGCTCTGTGGGCGAGCTCGTCTCGGCGAGTCGTAAGGTGGGTCACCTCAGTGAGGGAGAGGGCAAGGAAATCGAACTCGGTGTCTGTCGGTCGGAAGCTAGGTCAGATCAGCAAAGAAGGTAGTGAGGAAATACACGTTCGTATGTGGAATATAATTGCTTGGTGAGCGAAATTGCAGACCATCGCTGATGTAAATGACTTAGAATGTAATTACATGTAGGCACGCTACAATCGTATCGTCTATCACTGAAATAGTGAAATTTGGTTGTGATTCGCTGTGGCATTCTCCTCATTAATTTATCGCCACCTCGTCAAGAAGTGATGACCTGTTTCATTTGTCGAGTGTCCGCGGCTGACTGACCGTCCCCCCCCCCCTGTCTCTCCGTCTCGCCCGCAGTTCAGCCGGCCAATCGAGGGCGGCTCGGGCACGCTGCGTGTCTCCGCCGAGGAGGTAGCCTCGTGCCGTGAGGTGCTCACCCTCTCTGTCAGCGCGCGCAAGGTGGACAAAAAGGACTGGTTCAGCAAGAGCGACCCGTTCCTGGCCATCAGTCGTGTCAACGAGGACAACTCGTACACGCTGGTGCACCGGACCGAGGTGGTGAAGCGCAGCCTGAACCCCGACTGGAGGACGTTCACCATATCGCTGGTGAAGCTCTGCAACGGCGACAAGCAGCGCCAGCTCAAGCTCGAGGTGTCGGACTGGGACGACGACGGCAGCCATGACGTCATCGGCAGCTGCTACGTGACCGTGGAGCGTCTGCTGCAGCCGGCCTCGGCCGCCGCGCCCAACACCCACCCGCTCATCAACGAGAAGAAAAAGGCCAAAAAGAGGAAGTACAAAAACTCGGGCACTCTGGTGGTCAACTCGGCCCGCCTCACCACGCAGGTAAGACTGGGCAGAGCGGCCGAGTGACTACTGAGGCTGGTGAAGGTGACCTCAGAGTCAGGTGACGGCAGGGTAGCTACCAGGAGCTTCAGAGAAGGGTTTGGTCTCCAGGCCATTTTTTATACATATTTAACAGTTCTTGGATTTCAGTTTTACATTTTTGGCTTTAGCCTGACAAAGCTAAGAAAGAACGGTTTTAAAGTGCTACAGTTATTGAAGCTTGTCTCTATAGATAACTTTCAATACGCCCGAGATAATTTCTGTCAGATTTAGGTACAGGTAGGCTATCTCTTATGTTCAATTCATATGTTAAGTGCGTCGAGCCGCCTTCGAGGCGTCGAGAAGGCGTTCTTTCTTGGGTTTGTCAGGCTATGGTTGTGGTGCTACCAAGAATTATTTCAATGAAAAGTTTTCAACTAACAACCGTTCTACAATTGATGCTAGAACCTTTTTTGCGCTTTAACTAGCTCAAATTTCCACATTTATTGTTTCCTCGCAATGACGATGTGATGATTTTACCTACATCGGGTCTGTAACGGCTACATAATATCTTCTGGGAACCTGTCCAGTACCTGCAGTATCTCCCACGTAACTCTCCCGTGTTCTCTCCGGCAGCCTACGTTCCTCGACTATGTCCAGGGCGGTACCCAGCTCAACTTTACCGTGGCCGTCGACTTCACGGCTTCCAACGGACCTCCGACCGACCCGCGCTCGCTGCACTACCGAGACACGCGCGGCGGGGACAACCAGTACATGACGGCTATCCGAGCCGTGGGCAGTATCATACAGGACTACGACTCAGGTAAGCACTGAAAAATGAGTATGTTTGTAAGGACTTCGATATGGGTGAGATTTGGAGACAGTGTCATACAGGGCACGACTGCGATGAGATTTCGAGACAGTATTGCACAGAATTGGCACCGGTTTATCAATTTCGTGGGCAATATCATACATGGATGCGTCTTCTGGCTTCTTTCATTATCGAATTCAAGCCCGAATTCACTATCGCAATATCGCCCTCTCGCTCACCTCACCGCTCTGGCCCGGTGCGTTTCTCCCGCTCCGCAGACAAGATGTTCCCCTGTCTGGGATTCGGGGCGCGCGTGCCGCCTAACGGAGAGGTGTCTCACGAGTTCTTTCTGAACGGTCATCCGAGCAACCCGTTCTGCCCTGGCGTCGACGGAATTCTGCAGGCCTACTATCACTCGCTGAACACAGGTGGGTCTTCGGATGACGGCTGATGAATTGCCGCGTGTTTCACCTGGGATTGCTGGAAGAGGAATTGCCGCGAATCTATTCACAGTTGATTTCATTACGTGCTTGTTTCATGAAATTCATGATGAGAACAATGGTTGATTATGAAAGTAGCATCGGTTATTTCATAGGGTCTCCTTCAAAGTTGAGTGATATGACCATATAGGAAAAGCGCATCAGTTGGAGGCCCGAACTCACAAGTACTTTGAAAGCAAATGTGTTGTTGTTACCCGCATACCCCTGTACCATAGTCCCTATGCTCATTCCATACCCTAACCCCCCCCCCCCCCCCCAACTCACACAAACACACATTGACTATCGATCGGCTCACGAGCCATTGTTTCTGTTTCAGTCCAGCTGTACGGGCCGACAAACTTCTCGCCTGTTCTTCGTCACGTGGCCCGCTTCGCCGCCAGCTCTCAGGACGGCAAAAACTACTTTGTTCTGCTTATCATCACCGACGGCATCATCACAGGTACTACATATTCGCATGACGGAGTGCTGGGGTGGTCTCAGGCCAGTCATGGAATGAACCCATTTTGGTCATATTGATCCAAAAGTGTCTACATGAATGGTGGTGTGCAGTGTTCCATTTTTCGGAATTTTGGGTGGAAAATCACACCTAATGGGCAAAATATTTTCATCCCCAAAACCAGGTAAGTTGGAATTCTTTCATCTTTGAAAAATGCTCAACTCATGCTCAACAATTAACAGCCAGATTACCAGATATACCTAGCAGCGCCATATAGACAGTTAGAACTTATAGGTTTGCTACATAATACATAATTTCCATGAAAAAAAAGATGCGAAATCAAGGCACAAACCCAACAACTCACCCTGACTGACAACGAAAGAAAATAACCTTGCACACTTCCAGCTGTTAATAACAAATATGCGTTGAATGACCTTGATCACCTCAACTGTTTGTAAAAACCAGGTTTGTGTTCTGAATAAATGCTTTTGGATATTCATAACAACTATGATTAGTGGTTTGCTGCCAACGCAAAACGGATGAGCCGCTGCTTGCGCAAATTAAACACTACCTATGCAATTCGCTTTTGACTAAGTTGCGCAGGATACGCCTACAAAATTTTCATCTTTGGACCCGCAGTCAGCTGGGCACACCCTGGCACACCCTAGGGATGAATTTAAAACTTGGTGGGCTCTAACTTCTTTCATATACAAAATAGGGGTATGAGACAGGTACCAACTTATTCTACATTCATTTCTGATCCTATTGTATCAATTTCACCACAAATTATGTCCGTCAATGGCTTCTAGAGGACTTTAAAGCTCGATGCGTCGGGCCTGGCAGAGGTCCAAGATGAGAAAAGCCACCCTGCGCACACCCTAGGGATGAATTTAAAACTCCGCGGGCTCTGGCTGGTTTCATAGGTGAAATAATGTTTTGAGGACGATGCCAATTTATTCTGCGTTTATTTCTGATCCTATCGCATTAATTTCGCCACAAATTATGTCCGTCAATGGCTTCTAGAGGACTTTAAAGCTCGAGGCGTCGCGCCTGGTAGAGGTCCAAGATGAGAAAAGCCACCCTGGGCACACCCTAGGGATGAATTTAAAACTCCGCGGGCTCTGGCTGGTTTCATAGGCAAAATAATGTTTTGAGACGGATACTAATTTATTCTGCGTTCTTTTCTGATCATATTATATCAATTTCACCACAAATTATTTACGTTATTAGCTTTTAGATGTCTTTAAAACTCGAGGCGTCGGGTCGGGCAGGGGTTCAAGATGACTGACACGCCACCCTGGCACACCCTAGGGATGAATATGAAACTTTGTGGACTCTGGCAGGTTTCATACGCGAAATGAGGTTATAAGACCGGTAATGATGTATTTTACGTTAATTTCTCATGCCTTTGCAATAATCTTACCGCCAATTATTCATTTCAATTAGTTTCTAAAGGTTTTTAAACACGAAGCGTTCGGCCGAGGGAAAGCCAAGATGAATGAAAGGATACCTTGGCACACCTCTAGGGATAAATTTAAGATACGGTATTCCCAGATCTGCCCAATACATGTTCTGAAGCTGGTAGATGGGATTAAGAAGGCCCTAGCTTTTTAATAAATTATCCCTCGCCCGTATAGGGGGGGGGGGGTCGAGCGAACCACCCCCTCGTTTTTTTTCGAGAATAACTCGCGTAAAAAGCGGCCGATCGCGACGAAACTTTCAGGACCCTCGAGTCAATTAATTTGACACCTACTCTGAAAATCTCTTATTCCTGACCCAAATGACCTTTGACCTGTGACCTATTTCTTGAGGCCATGTTTGGCCGGAATCGCGATTCGGCGAGCCGCTAATGCGTTCCGTTCACTCCCGTTCCGTTTCGGGTGTTCTGGTCAGTTGTGCTCTCGCTTTCCCTTCCGCTTGGGGTGTCCTGATCAGCGATGCCCTCCGTTCCGTTGCAGTTGCTCTGATCAGTGATCACTGATGCCCTCCGTTCTGTTGCGGGTGCTCTGATCACTGATCACTGATCAGTGACGCTCTCTCACTCAGCACTTATCACGTGACATGATACGAAGCTACCGCTCCGTTTCGGTGGCCGGCCATGAGGTCGGTGGCATCCTATCATTTTTTTTTTTGCATCCCGTTCCGTTCCGATATGGATGCCCTGGTTACTGGTTAGTTGCACGCTTTTTATTGCGATATTGCGTATTGTGCTGCGCAGTGCACATCGTTCCGTTTGGGGTGCCCTAATCAGTGACCCTTTGTCTAGTCTCATGTAGTGCACCGTTCTTTTCGAAGAGTTGCGCTGACACCGTTTCCATTTTCACTATGCGTAATGAGTACCGACTATCGCTGGCCGTTCCGGCGTTCGGGCCGGGAGATTTCCGGCGTATGTCATGCTGCATAGTGCGACTGCAATTGCATACTCAATACTGCGTCCCGTTCTGTGTGCCCAGAGCAAAGGCACCATTTCCAGTATCATCCGGCCACTGTCATATATGTTGAAAATGGAAAGCTCAAAGCTATACTGTGTACTGACTGTACGAATATTACCAGATCAGATGCGAACGAAAACTACATACTTATATTGCCGCATATTATCTCAAATATACAGTAATCTTGGAAGCGGTGCTGCCATATTGTAGGCGCAAAACGTCCCAGAGGCCAGAACACATGAGTTATACGGTTTCTGGTTTCATAGTGATCAGTTACGTCAACAAACTGCCCATCAGGGTATCATGATTACCTAAGATTTTATGTCTGACAGTGTCACAGTGATGACCATGCCTCACGCATTACACAGTCTGAGTCAACTGCACTAAATCAATAATACAGGACGACAGAATGATACCCTTTGCAACGGCAACGACAGGTTCCTTCCCACTTCCTTTGCTTAAAAAAGAAAGAAAACTTCTCCACATGGCACTAGTACCAAAGCCTGCATATAGGGAGAGCTCTCTCACCCGCCCCTCCCCCACCCTCCTTAAGATATGACAACAGATTTCAACAGAATCATTGCATCTTCTGCTTCTTAAAGACCTAGTTCGCTCGCATGATGGCGACTGGCGTCGCGAGGATGGAGGTCCGCGGATGATCTTCTTTAGGAGAAATATACAGGCAGAAGGACCGTCCTGGATCCGTGCCAGTAAGCATGAGTAGGAACTTAGCAGATGCTGACGGTAATATCTGCTGTCTGCATCTGAAACGGAAAGGAAGGCATTGATTTAAGGCTAGGAGAAGGATGGCCACTGGACAGCATTCAATTGTGACAATGCATTTTGACTTGTGAGGAAAATGAAATCTCACTGGTTGAAGTAGGTAGGTATTCATTCTTAGCTGTATAAGAGACAAGGGTGATTCTTAACTTCATTAGTCTCAATCAAACACAAAGGTTGGGATAAAATGGGACGGATTTAGAAACACTTGGCGATCAGATGCTAAAGTTATAATTCTGTCGTATATCATCCTTACCTATTTGCATCGTCTTTTTCGGTTAGTTTTGGTGGTCAGGAATGGTATGTTCTTTTATTATCAGCCAGCGTAGCGTTACGCCTTTATTGCGAAAGTGATATAGGTTTTCACTTGTTTTTTTTTCTCATCCTAGATTTTTTTGGTCATCATCGTCACACCCAACCAAAATCCAATTTTAGAACACTGGTGGTGTGAAGTATCTGGTTGGCTTATGCCGGGTCATGCTAGGCTTAGAGGTACACCGGTGTTTTGTGATCCAGTGCAGTTCTGTTACACTATGAGAGTAGAAGCACAGTGCCAGAGTGGATGTAGTCACAAATGGGCGCCTACAGGTGGACCATAGCCCAATAGGTCGACCGTACATGCTTCGGCGAACGGAGCGTTGCGTAGCCCGTACAACCGCTGGACAACCTCTGCCGCAAAGCCTCAGCCCCGTGCTCACGCGGCCCTCGCGTTCTCAGACCGTGCAGATACGGTGGCAGCGCTGGTGGATGCCTCCTCTCTGCCCATGTCGGTCATCATCGTCGGAGTCGGCTCCGAGGACTTCTCGGCCATGGAGTACCTGGACTCGGACAACCAGAAGCTGCGCGACGACCGCGGCAGGATCGCCGCCAGGGACATCGTCCAGTTTGTCGGTAGGTGGCGCGGGTGGGCGTCGGGGTTGGGGGCATCCACGGCGCTAATAGGCGTGTCATGTTCGCGGTACGAGGCGCAACGTTCGACAGGGCGGTATCTGATGAGGGTATCGGGATAAGTACTGCAGATCGCTGATATTGCATGTTATGCTTCTTGTTCTTGTACAGTAAGCAGTTCCTCCGTGTGCAGACTGCAGAGGGAGTGGCTAAACTGTGCCGGGCCAGGCGTAGGGACGTTTTTACGCATGCTGGGGCTGTCTGAGCATTTCATTCTGCAGCTTAAATGCATTCGCTACTCATCATTAACCACCTACTACATGGTTCTCGCACTTCACCCCAAGGAAGATTGTTACTATGTTACCACTTCACCTAACTCATTCATTATTCGTTGTACCACTTTTTGGCGAAGCAGCCGGCTCATCATGATCATTAGGATTCACAATAACAATGCCAGCATTCAGAGGCATTTTTTTCGTCGGGACGAAAAGTCATCAGGCAGCTCGTGTTTTGGTCAAACCGAAAATTTGGAAATCCATGCCGGATATGCTTATTCTTGTGATGGTAATAAAACGCTCAGAGCCCCAATGCCTGAAACAGACTCTTTCCGCAGTCAGGAAATCGCATGCGAGAGCCTATTCAAATGCGCGGAAGCACGCTCGCATATCGCTCGCACCTCCCGCATGCGATTGATGCGGGCAGAATTCTAACGTATTTGAATAGGCTCTCGCATGCGATTTCCTGAATGCGGAGTCTGTTTCACTTTTCAGCCTTAACTGGGTCGTAAATGTAATGTGCCTGTAATACATTTTTTCTCTACGTACTTTCCTATCTATCCTTTACTGCCCCCCGCTGCGTGGGAGCTACCATGTTAATCTATCCAGTTTAAATTTTCATCTCCTACAAAACTCCAGACCGATCCTCTCCTGCTGACACCACATAAGTCACAAACATCCGCACCAAAATCACATATGGTCGTCTCAGCGTAGCTCGCCGTGCTAAATTCGTTGGCTGTGGCGGCGTTCGCTGACGCCGCGCGCCGGCCGGTGTGCGTCTGCGTCTGCAGAGCTGCGCCGCCATCTGCAGACTGGAGGCGCCGGCGGCCGCGACCGGCTGGCGCGCGACGTGCTCGCTGAGCTGCCCGCCCAGCTCACCGAGTACATGCGGCTGCGCGGCCTGAAGCCGGGCGTGGCGGCCAGCGGGCCGGCGCCGCCACCGCCGCCCGACCCCAGCCTGCCCACCGTCACGACCTACTGAGGTCAGTTGGCCGCCGCGTGCGGCCCAGAGACCCTGTGTGCACCAGCTCCTGGTTTCTTGCTTGGTTTTGATTTGAGCCACGTGTATTTAGCTTCTAAGTAGTTGCAAGGTTTACGTAAAGTAAAATGTCCACCCTTTTCAACTTAATGTATCAAAATGGTTTTCAGTTCTCGACATGTTACGATTCCTACTGGGCCCTACCTTTTCCGCTCTTTATTTTGACGCATTTTAGGGTTATTTTCTACCTTGATATCATCCTCGAAACCACCACACCATCTAAACGAAGCTCGCCTTTACGCAGCAGCTATTTGTTCTCGAGTCGGACTGACACCATATCGGATCATTTGTAGCGGAAGACATAAACGCATCCCTGAGGGCTGTTCGGGTCCCTGCAGCATAGATCTGTGCTGCGTGCGTCATACTTGGGTGACGTCAACCGCCTGGCTCCGCCCACTCTCCGCCGGCACGCCGCGGCCGAGCGTCGCCGCAGCCTATTTCAAACGCGGCGAACCGTTGCGCGGGTGGACTGGTGATTGTCGCTCAAACAACGATTAATTTGCGTTCAAATGTGGTTATTAGCAATGTGCCACCGAAAAGAGTGATAATGATACCCAAAAAACAGCATACAAACCACTTACAATAAGAAATATTGGACGGTAAACTTTAATCCGCGCCACTTTCGCCTCCTGCAGCACCAAATTTCGTGCTGCAGGAAAACGAAGCATGCTTCAGTAGGTGACGTCACACAGGCGGTGACGCAGTGGTGTGGGCGGGACTAACAGGCGACGAAGTCCTCACTGCGCATGCGTGCTGCAGCATATTTCATTTTTGCTGCGCAGCCGAACAGCCCTCTGAACACATGCACATACGACCGCACTGTTGCACTGTCCCAGAGTTGCTCACCACTGTGCTGTCGCCCGGTGCGTGAATCAGAGATAACTCTGCGCAGGGAAACACAAGCCCTCTGGATGCCGTGCATGCGTGGTGTTGCGGTAAGGCCGCCTATCGCCGATTGTGCAAACTGCGAGTAAGCCATGAAAGGAAACAAAATGAATAAGCGTAGTAATTCGTGAAAGGAAGAACATGAATAAGCGTTTTTTTTTTTTAGACCTGGACTGCTTATGTTGGATATTTGGATTGTGGATGTTAACCATGTCAAAATGTGCATGCGCAATAGCTATTCGCTTCGTCAGGCAAGTTCGGTTGGGTCTCGTATTAGTTCGTCCGTCCAGACTGTGAAACTCACTGCATTGTTCTCTCGCTGGTTAGTAACCATCGACTAACGTGTGTGTGCGTGTTTGCGTGTTCCACAGAATTGCAGGCGGTACTGGGACGCCAGGGCGTCGGGCCCAGCACTCAGGCTGCGTTGGCCAGTCGCGTTCTGGCGGAGCTGCCCGGGCAGCTGGTCGACTATATGAAGATGAAGGGTATTTCGCCGTCGCCACCACCGGTCATGGCGCCCGGCCCTGCGCGGTAGATCCGCCTGCCGAGTTATCGGAGGGCGTCTGCGTCCATCGGCTCTTCCAGGAAGTTGATAACAGGTAGAGGAGAGAGGAAGAGGGCGCTGTAAAGTGTTGTGGAGACCGTGAATTCTCTCGCAACGAATCTTTCAGGCAAACTCGTTATTTTTATGAGGCGTGTTTTGTTTTTGCTTGCCTGAACTACGATATTTCAGTGTGCCTATCTAATCGTCCTGACGCCTGTAAATGGGACGATCGCTCGCACAATAGCTGTAGTACTTAATCACCATCATCCAGGAATTTGCCAGGACCATTGGTGTCAAGTACAAGTAACTACTGCCTCTCTCAGATACTGACACTGTACTGTAGTATAATTCTTCCCCAGGCTACGCTTCGTTTTCACTGCCTTGACTATAGCCTTGCCAGCCGTGGGGATTTTCCAGAAGCATTTTTACCATCGTCTTTTTCGAAGCATTTTAATATAGTTCATACATGTGCGTGTTATGCTTAGAGCGTACTGTAACTCTGTGATTTGTTTACATAACAAATGAGTTGTGATGTTATGATTAATAACTATCATAGATCACAAGAGGAACTAAGAGCTACTAGGGCTAGTTAAGTTGATATTTTTATTATATGTCCAACGGACGCTGAATATAATGCTAACGTGAAGCAAAGCAGTAAAAATATTCCACTTTTTAGAAACTAGTATCGTTATTACGCAGCTTTAACCCTCGCCCGCACATGGGGGGGGGGTGGTTGCCACCCCCCCCCCCCAGGCAGTCTTTCTGCTCTGCACTCAACATTTTTAGAGCTAGAAGGTTGATTTTGTGTATAGCTGCTCATCTATCCTTTCTTGATGTCCACTGAAAATTTCAAGTTTCTGTGATTTTTGGTTTCGGAGATATGACCTTGTTTTTCAGGTCATGTCATGACCCAAATGGCCAATTCTCAACATCTTGCGTTTGCCATGGGCCTTGTGAGCTTTTGACACCCTGATTTCGGCCTTTTTTGCCAGTCTTACCTCCCACCTATCATGGAACATGTTGTTCGACGATGTATAGGGGTCAAGGTCAGGGTCAAGGTCAACCTAGGTCATCTAAGATAATTGCGTTTTAGGCAAGCTGAATTTACTTTTTGTGAAGTTTTTTGACTGCATTTTTGGTAAAAGCTTCTCAGATCATGATTTCATGTGATATGGACCCAAAAACAATCGGTGCACACATCAGTATACACACAGACACACACAGACATACAAACACATATAATTGACCTTGACCTAACTTGACCTGAAATGACCTCAGCAGCAAAATTCTGGTCGGATAGTGTGACAAAGAGGTTCTAGCTGGCTTGGCACCAGAAAACAGCATCGTCATCGGTATTTGATAAGCAGCGCACTTGATATCCAACGGTGACCCAAAACAGCAACATTTTTTAGTTTGACCTGACCTGGAAGGTCAATGACTGACCTGAGAAGGTAAAACTGGGTATCATTGGATTCGTCTCTTCCCAAAGAATCTTTTTGGTCTTTACTGCTAAGCTCTATCTCCAACAGGAACGAAATGGCGCGGGGGGGTGGCAACCCCCCCCCCCCATGTGCGTTCTAGGATGGGAAAATGGCATGTGCGGGCGAGGGAGGGACTCTCCCACCTTCAAAAAAGTAAATGAATTGGCATAAAAGTGGCGCTTAGTTCAAATTCAGCAAATATGAATATCTACCGAATTTCATTGAAAAATACAAATCGGTTTTTGAGATATTAGACATAAATCTTAAAAAGTGCAGCATTTGCGGCAGATGTTGCGCGCAAATAGCATATACCACCACTGCTTCACAAAAATCTTAGTATAGATGTTGTGTAAGTTAATACGCAGCGCATTGCAGTGGGCCAGTGGCATACAACATGCTTGATTCCAACGTGTATCCAGGGCAATGTGCCTATTTTTGCTTTGTCTTGATTCTTCTGAAATGTATTGTATTTTCCTGTCGATTTAAATCCTGTTTTCTCAGTAATAAAGTGCATTATCACCACTTAAGATTTATCATGTATCCTTATGCGCTAGCTCTTTGACAAAATCCGCAAAAGGACAATGACATAAAAAAGTCATTGTTCATCATCTGACCGATCTGACCAATGCTTACCAACCAGTAAAACGCCTTTTGGGCGAAGAACGAGCGAGCGAGATAGTGAGCCCTGTACGTGCAGAAGGGCGAGAGGGTACTTCCAACGGGCTTGTGCAAAGCACCCTTCTAACCGGTCGCTAGCGGTGTACCAAATTTGAACGCAATCGGCCCAGCCGTTCCTGAGATCTGAAAGCGGCATTCTGCACGTGCGCACGTGCAAACGGGGTCCAAAATGACTTTTGCACGGCACCCTACTAACCGGTCCCCAACCGTGTACCAAATTTGAGCGCAATCGGCCCAGCCGTTCTCGAGATCTGGAAACGCCCCCTGCACGTGCGCACGTGCAGTAGCACCCTAACCGCAACACATGGGAATGCATTGCCTGGTGGGTGCCTAGCTGTATGCCAAGTTTCAGCGAAATCGCCCCAGTAATTACCGAGTTACTGAAATGGGAACAAATTTGGCACCTCTTATTGTTGTATTTTGCACGTGCAGTGGGGGTCACTCACATAGATGAAGAGTATACGACCTTTGGTAGAAGGAATGCAGCTACCCTATAAAAATTACCGCAAGACAATCGCTCAAGCCGCTGCTGAGATATGGGCCTCTCAAAATCATTACTTTTGCAAAACTGCTTGAACACCCTTTACTTTTCACGTGGCACGTGCCACGGCGGTCACTGAAATGTATCAAAAGTAGTCAATTACGTGGTAGAAGGGATGGGGCTACCCAGCAAAAAAGACCGCAGGCCATTCGGTCCAGCGGTTGCTGAGATATAAGCCTCTCAAAAGCGTTACAGGCCGGGCCGGGCCGCTCATACTGAGATTTTTCCGTTATATTGAAAAGACTTCGCTTTGCTCGCTGCGCTCGCTCGCTCGTAATGATTTTTCGTTATATTCATTGTGTATTAAACCATGTCAGCGAGAGGAACTTGCGGTACTCTGTTGGCCTATCCGTTCTTGTTTGGTTTCCGGTCAATCGCAGTCGGTATTGGCCACCTTTTCGGTAGTGCTACATCCTCTGATTCAGGAGTCACATCGGCGGTGGCTGTGTACTCTTTTACTCTAACGCTTTTACTCTAAGGTATCATTTGCTACTACTGGGGAACTTTGGATATCGAATGCATGCGAGAATGAAATGCTATTATAGAATTCATAGTCATTGAGGAGGCGCAGGCTGCGAGGTCGTATTCAAGGTCGTTTAAGTTGATTGTGCAATCTGTTTTATTGGCGATCGGTGTTTGCAATAATTTGTTCATTTGTCCAATGCTATTTGCCAGTGGTATCATTCAAAATATATGATATGGCCATTTTCCGTAATGTTTTCCGAGCAGGGCAGATCGAGTCTGCACGCAGGTCAGAAAAGGACATTTCAGGTTCAGACGATCCGAACGTTGAACACCGATCGGGGAAGATCCATGAGATTTGCAGCTAGGTGACAAACAGCGCCTTCCTACCGAAATCAAAGGGTACATACCTATTTCTCATTGGTGGCGATGTTATAGTCGGTCTCATTGGCTTCCTTGCTATCCCATCCCTAGGCACTAGGCATGGATTGTCAATCGAACTCTGGCAACATGTTAGGCACGTGGTCGGGAACCATGGGACTAGTCGACTATGCCGACACACGCCATCACCTTCACGATGTTGAACGGGTTGGGTGCTTACTGCTTGCCGTTTTCGCGCTAGCAGACGTTGGTCTTCGACTCTTCCCGCTCCAGCTCCACCAAGATTTGAAGAGTGGAGGTTGTGCAGATGCGTGCATCGAATAAAAATAATTTTGATGGATGTTCATTTGCATATACCGGGTGTCCCAAAAGTAAGGTCATCATTTGTTTTGGCCACACTGCCAAAAATACGCGATGGATAGATATAAATAGGACATCATATGAAAGAGCATTTTATAAAATTTTATTCTGACATACATATGAGTCAATACATTTGCTCGTAGCCCCACATTTGCTGCTTTTCTACATGGCTACCATTTCGGGCCGCGTGCATGAATAGACTACGTTTGACTTCCTCCACTATTCTGGAGCGATTCTCTGGTGAGATGCCGCCTATGTTTGCTCGAAGGGATCATCCTTTAGTTCTTCCCGGCTCGTTGGGTTGTCCTAAAAGACAATCTTTCTGTTGTGTATCCAGAGAATAAAAATATGAAGGTGTAACGTCAGGTGACCGCGGAGGCCATTCAATGGCGTTGCCCTGACTGAAAATTACGGGATCTCACATCCACTCTCGGAGACAATGCATGATCTTCAGGACGGTGCAAGCATAGTCTTCATCCTGCTGAAACCACTGCTGGCTGATGGTGTCGGCACAGCTGCGTTGCGACGAGCGGAAGAACCACTGGGAGGACTCTCGGCCACCTCTCTTGATTTATTTTCACCCGATTCCCGCTGTCGTCCTCAGGACCTCGAAGCACAGGTGGCTAAGTATACATGCCCTGTGCGTACATTATACCTTTTTTCTGACGTTTTACCGGTTGAGGCGAAACTATGCATGAGTTCAGAGATAGGGCGAGCTGATAGGGTCTGCTTAGGGCCGAAAACTGGGCGGTATTTACCCTTTGTTTTAATGACGGACCCTCTCTAAGAGTTGAATTTCGACCTTCTCAGTTTTATGCCTACTGCTCGGTGTAGTTATGATCAAAAATGGTTTAAGCATGCAAGAAAATAATTTTATGGATGTACCTTGCACGTGTTAAAATTGGAAGTGATTCGGACTCTTACTTCTCGAGATATTTAAGTTTTAAATCATGACCTTACTTTTGGGACACCCGGTATGTAATTATTGTTTATATATCATGTATTTGACTTGATTTATCATTTAATACGAACTGTTGGGGGGGGGGGGGCACCCGAGCCTTTCAAGCAACGCTCCCTTACGTTTGTAATTTCGTTCCGGGAATAAAATATCCAGCTGTCTGCCTAGAGATTTCTGGAGACAAATGTTAAATTTCCCCGTGAATTTTCTCCTGATGTCGCTGTCGTCGTCTGTTGTCTGTTCAAGGTCTGTTCGGTCTGTTATCGTTATGCAATCATTGCGCGATTGTGACGTTGCGTATTGTGTAATGTCAATGTGAAGACGAAAGCCAAACGAAAGCAGGTTTGTAAGGTTATTTAGGGCATATCCTCCATTTCAATGATTCCATCTCAGCATAGACAGGATGTGTATCGATTCAAATGCTTTTCATGCATGATGCATTGGTTGAAACCTGCGTCTCAAACCGTGTAGCCCGTGGTCCGTCAAGCCTCTATGTTCGTGTTATGTAACGTTTGCAAGTCACGCCATAAAAAGATAATCTGTCCTGCGTCGTGTGGTAAGAAGGAAACTTGAACTGGCGGTTGGGCGTGTTGGGTGTGTCTGTTCCAGAGCTAGCCAGTCAGGGCTTGGGCTGACTTTTTCCTGTGCTTGCAGCTGGGGAACTGTGATTTTAGCACACTGCTGGTTCAACTTTACTGGTGCTACAACAGGAAGCATTGGATTAGGAGGTGAACTCTTCAGTGGTTTGCATTTTTAAGAGAAAATGTCATGGTACAGAAATTCTGTTTTCATCCTGAAAGGCCTGAAAGACTATACAAAATCAGGTTATGCCAGTGCCAGTAAGCAGTTTTGTGAGAAAGATCTGGATGTTGATTGCAATGGCAAGTCCTTCATGATCACTGGAGCTAACAGCGGCATTGGCAAATCTCTGGCAATCTCCATTGCCAAACTTGGAGGAACAATCCACATGGTTTGCAGAAACCCAAAATATGCTGATGATGCCATGCAGGAGATCAAAAATACAACTGGGAATCCAAATGTTCATGTCCATCTCCTGGACATGTCGGAACCAACGAGCATAGCAAAGTTTGCAAAGAAGTTCATTGAGGAACATGAGTCACTGAATGTTCTGATCAACAATGCAGGATGCATGGTGAATGATCGGCAAGTCACTGAAGATGGTTTGGAGAAGAACTTTGCAACAAACACTCTTGGAGTGCATATGCTGACAAAGAGCTTGCTGCCTCTCTTGAAGAAGTCTAAAGAGCCTCGTGTAATCATGGTGGCATCTGCAGGCATGCTGACTCAGAAACTGAATGTGGATGATCTACAGGCAGAGAAGATGAAGCCATTTGATGGAACCATGGTGTATGCTCAGAACAAAAGGCAGCATGTGATCATGACAGAAGAGTATGCCAAAGAATACCCAGAGGTTAAGTTCTTCTCCATGCACCCAGGCTGGGCTGATACTCCAGCTGTGCAGAACTCAATGCCAGACTTCTACAACAAGATGCAGGGCAAGTTCCGAACACCAGAAGAGGGTGCTGACACTGCTCTGTGGCTTGCTGTGTCAAAGGCTGCCCTAGAACAGCCAACTGGTGAGTTTTTCCAGGACAGGAAAGTGGTGTCTAAACATCTGCCCCTGGCCTGCACACACAGCTCACAAGAGGATCATGACAAGCTGATGAAAATCCTGGATGACTACTTCTCCCAATTTTCTGAGTAGAGTAGTGAGCAATGCTCAGGACTGCCTCCCTGTAGAGTGGAACTCTTGAAGTTATGGTTTCATACCACTTCACCTTGGTGTCTTCTGTCTCTGACTGCCTGCGGTTATTCTCTCCAATAGCTTCTTTATTAACATTTATGCTTTGTTTTCATGTTGATGAATCAGTGAAATTATCATTTCCAATGGTCAACAATTTGAGCAGATTTATAGAGCTGATAAATGTTTGTAGGGGACTTGAATTTGTCCAAAGAGCCCTAATCAGCAACCTGATTTATTGTGTAACTTGTAAGTGTGCTTTTGTAGTTGGCATGCCTATGACATGATTGTGGTGATCCTTGATTTAAGTGTTATTTGTATCTAAATGCAAATCCTTTTTTCAGTCAGCAATGTTTCTACTTATAGAGGAGTGTTTAGGCACCTGCTTAGAGTATACCCTGGGTGGCAATTTACTCCTTAGTTTACCTACCTCTGAATATTTGTTTATGGTAAAATGGGTGACTTCTCCAGCTTGTCAATCTTCATTCAGTGTCTTGTTATTATCATGGGTGTACCAGTGTATCCACAGTGCTGCCTGGACAAATGTGAAGTCTACTCTACCTATTGGATGGAGTATTGCTACTGCACATTTTACTACTTCATGTCTCGTTATATGTGGATGTTTATTTGCAATAAAATATCAAACCAAAATCACATGTTAAAACATATGAAGGATAACTTACCTCACTGAAAGCTTACTTCTCTGTTCAGTGTTGAATTTGTGGCTGGTAATTTTACATGACAGCCAGCCAACCCATGAATAAAATGCTGATCAATCGCTGATTGGGACTGATCAGGTCTGCTCTTGATTCTTTAAATAGTACTTTCCAGGTACTTGCAGCATCAGTAAGATCGGAATGACAAATCAGTTCTTCGCTGGTCGTTTTTAAGACCATGACAGATATTACAGCAAAGAATAATAATTTTCCCAACATCCTGCTGTCTATGCTTCTAGATATTGATTGCTGAATTACCTTGCACCATTTCATTTTCAACATCCACTGCTTCCTTTGCTCTTGAAATTGCCACAAGTTATCAATTTCCTTTTCTTCACTTATCAGGCATCATCCTGCTTCTGTCGGTTGAGTTGTCAGTAGTGAAAACATTTGAAGACATTGAAAAGGCGCCTACTGGCCAAGGCCGTACTTATTTACCGGCGGATTGAAAATGCTGCAGGTAATCATCGAAAAAGACATTGAAAGCATGGGCTAGTGTTTTCTGGATAAATCTTTCATGACGCTGCTAAACTGGGATTTTGCACTGGAATTGATTGTCAATACGGTTAAACAATCTGAAATGACGCCTCAAATGAACCCAGAGAGCCCTTTAGGGCCTTTAGGGCAAGGCCTTGGCAAGGCCAGGGGGATGTCACTACTTTGCTTCGCCATAGGTCCAGTACTGATGTCGTCGGTTTCGATCCCGGTGACGTCAGTGCTGTCTACATCCGGGAACTTATTGCACTTGGTTCTCATTAGAGGTGGCCATATTGTTTTGTCTCGTGACGAGACATTTGCGTCATCGGGATCGAAACTGGCTGTAAACAAATCGCTCAGTGTCGCTACCTACTATATATGGCCTTGGGCAAGGCCCATTAGGGCAAATTACATGAGCCATTCTTGAGCCATTCTATGTGCAAATCATGTGCCAAGTACCCTCCCGCTGCCTCCGCCACTGAGAAACCGTTTTGATGCGATTGGGTGACATGAAGCAGCGACCAGCGCTGATCTGCCCTTGGATCTGCCCTAGGGTAGCGCTGGCACTTGACAGGCGTTGGATAAACAATGAACAATGGGGGGGGGAGGGGACATAAGCCGATAAAATGCGTATTACAAAGGGAGGGAGTACAATGCAAGGTACAATGCTGGGAGAATATAAAAATTCGTTCGTGAAGTGTATTTGCTTGTTTATGTATCCCAGGGCAATGCCCATTTCCACTTAAATTCAAGGAAATGCCTTCAATTCAGACACATGACTGTCAGACTGTGTGACTCAGCGTTGGTCGAGTGTGGACTGTGGAACGCATTTCGTATCATAGACATTCCGAGAACGCAAGCTCGTGCTGTGCAAGACGTCACGAGAGACGTGACCGGACGCGGGCCGCCACATTTACGAGCGGCACATCCTTTCAGATGGCCGCCACGGGTGCAGCTGCACTGCTCCCCCCCCCCCCCTAGGCCTGCCGTGGAGCCCAGGGTACGCACGTGCCTGCTGCCTTCTACACTACACCTCCCAGACGCGCTCGCTGCCTGGTGGATTGGTCCCTGGACAAGCGAGCCCTGGTTCCATAGATATGAAGTACTGCGTAAGCTGCCGGATTTGGACACGGCGATACAAAACGACGTGGACTCTCGATAAACGGACTCCAAAAACGAGTCTATCTGCGAATCGCTCTCGACAAGGAATTGATATAAATTCAGAACGTAGACATTCATGAATGTGTTTGACAGTACATAGCGACAGCAAAGGTCAATCGGAGCCCTGTTAGCGCAATTGTGCTCGCTCTCGTTTTTTACGGAAACATCAACACATTTCGTCCGGACTTTTTTTGTCCACGGAAAGGAAAAGCCCGATAGCGTAAGAGACGCTAGCAGCGTGTCTGTGAAATGGGAGCCAGAACGATGGTAGCTAGCATAATGTGTGATACACAGCAAAATTGAGGGATTAAAATGACGTCGAACGACTGAATGATGTATGTAATGCTTATCCTAGTAGCGAGTTTATCATTGCTGACATTGAATTTTGAAAGACCGCATCGCAGAGTTACGTAAGGATAATTAGCATCGCATTGCAGCAAACAATCACAAACCGCCATCCAAATGAGCATCAGTAGACAGCAAACATATCATGGCGACTGTGTATTGCTAACGGTATATAATCGCGAATATAGACCTAGCAATATGCAAGAACAGTGGCGACTAGAATGTTGTATAGTATAGACAAATAAACACGAATAAATAATTGCTCTAAGTTCTTGTCTAACACCGTGCATAGAAGCAGCGGCGTATTTAGAAAATCGCGAAGGGGGGGGCCAAGGGTTTGGAGGGCGCCACCTCACCCAAGGAGGGCGCCATACGGTCGCGAGATAAAAAATCGCTCAGTGGGGGTTGGGGGGTTGGGAGGCGTTTTTTACCATGCCACCAGTTTTTTTTTTGCGTAACCTCGTATAGGTCGTGCTGCATTGATTTTGCATCGTGTGTATTCTTTATACTCCAGGTCACAAAAGGTCAAGTGTTCTTGAAATGCTGCGCCGAAGGCGCGCGAAATTTTTGAAAACAACCTTTTCCTCCGCTTTTTAGGCACGCCTTTTATACGATCACTGTTCAAAGCTCCTCTCGCTCTTTTACCAAATTTGAAGGTGTAAAAAATACCTAAGGTTTGGTCGGGCCGCTGCCACACAAACTGTACAGAAAGCTTGGCTCATGGGTGTCGATGTATAAAAGTTTATTGGCGGTGGCATATCTACGCACCAGATCACTGTATCGGATTGATACCGGAGCGCGAGATGCGTAAACATCATCCAAATTACCTCAGACCAGCCTTCATAGCCTTCTCACAGATGCATACAGTGTACCCACATAACCAGTTTCAATCACCGAAACTTAAGATGCCTGCTGTTGCGCCCGAACCTGTTGACAATACTTAATCGTAATCCATATAGATGCCATGATGCACGTAAAGTAGGATCAATCCGTTAAGACCAAAGACGTGTTTTATGCATCGTAGAGCGTAGATAGTTTTGGTAGGTATAGATACTTCATTCATTGTGCTGAATGCACGTTCATTTGTGGCAGTTTTCACAGGCAAGACATCAACTATGTGCAATAGAACGACTAAGTTGAAAAACATGCCAAAGGAGTAAATAAATGATAGGAGGGCAGCGATCAACGGATGTTGCCAATAGGTAGAAGGGCTGCGATCCACAGGAGGGCACTAATAGGTAGAAGAGCCCCGATCAACATCCCGAGTTTCGACAGTAGGGCACCGATAGGTAGGAAGTTGGCGAGCAGCAGGAGGGCGCCAATGGATAGAAGGGCAGCGATCAACAGGAGGGCACCAATAGGTAGGAGGGCGCCGATCAACAATCAACAGGAGGGCGCCACCAGGTAAGAGGGTGGCGAGGAACAGGAGAGCACCAATAGGAGGGTGGCGATCAACAAGAGGTCGCCAATAGGTGGGAGGGCGGTCATCAACTGGAAGTCGCCAATGAGCGGAAGGGTGACGATTAAAATGGGGGTGGCAATGGTGAGGAGGGCGCCTTTGCTCAAGAGGATGACACGAACAGGAGGGCGTCTGTGCGGAGGGCGCTGGTCAACAGGAAGGTGCCAGTGGATAGGAGGGCGGTGATCAACAGGAGGGTGCCAGTGGTTAGGAGGGCGGCGATCTACACGAGGGCGCCAATGGGAGAAGGGCCCCGATTAACATTCAACAGGAAGGACTAGGGAACCAATAGGTAGGAGGGCGGCACTGAACAAGAGGGTGCCAAAAGGGAGAAAGGCGGCCTTCAAAATTTCACATGAGGGCTCAATAGGTAGGAGAGCGCCAATAATTATGAGGACGCCGATCAGCAGAAGGGCGGCAATGTGTAGCAGGGTGGCGACCTACAGGAGGGCGCCTTCGGGTGAGAGGGCGCTTATTTACAGGACAGCGGATTACATAGGCGACCACCGTTACGCTTAGAGAGCTACAGCCTACAAATGTGGTTGGAGGGCGCCCGAGGGAGCCCTCCAACCGTATTTGGAGGGCGTATTTGGAATGGGCGTCCTCCGAGGGCGCCCTCCATCCGTATTTTCCCTGTAAACACATTCGCGATTGGAGGGCGCCCTCCAGTCGCGATTGTTTTTCGATTCGATTATATCACAATTGCATTTGCGATTGGAGGGCGCCTTCGGCGCCCTCCAATCGCAAAGGGCGCCTTCGGCGCCCAAGGGGGGGGCCATGGCCCAGTGGCCCCCCCCCTGCCTACGCCCCTGCATAGAAGCAGCTCCACATATCTTAATGTATAGACAGACATCGGTAATGGTGGCTTCAAAATAATAATTAAAGTTTGATAGCACAACTCGCCGACGCATGGCGAAAATAACTGAAAACTGCCGACCACCCGAGTATTCAAACTATACCTATCCTTCGAGGCGCACTCATTGGTGCCGGTTTTCCCACAGATCGTTTCACAATTTACAGACACGCTCCACCGCACACTCGCCACGGTCAATCACCGGGATATCACAGAGCTGTACAAATCCAGCACAAACGCCTACACTGCACGTACTACTTTGGTGGGCGCAGAGCGAGACCCGCGGGCTGGGTGGGTGGAAGGAAACGGGAGACTCACGTTAGTGGCGCTCGACAAAGGCAGGTCACTGAACCAACACTAATAACTATGTGGTCAGTACACCCCATCCATGATGCGCAGTCGAATAAAAGGAGGCATAAGAATATCATGATCGCACGTAGCATTATCGCCAGGTAAGTACAGGATCGCACGGGAAAAAAGAATCTAAGTACATTAGGTGCATTACAGCGAAGGGGGATGCACCGACACATTTTAAGCTGTATTCTTCAGATCAGCTCTAGCAATGGTGGACATCAGAAACAGCAAGGATAAGCACTTCGTAACAAAACAGGGTATGTGACATATTTCCCCTGCATCGAGTCTTGCCAAGTACTCACGATAACGCACAAGCCATCTGGCACCGCGATCTGTCTGAGGAATGTCTAGTTGCAGGTGGCGCAAAGCTAGGCGTGACTCATCACCGAATGCCGACGCGTTACTGATGCCGCCTACTGAGTCAGCGTGACGTCAGGGCTTGTTTGCCAGCGAAGGACGCTTGTCAGGGCCGGCGAAAGTTCTTTGTTGACCGTTGTGTACCGGGTTGGGTGAGATATATTCAAATTCGTGATGAACTTCGGCCATTCAGCCCCAGCGAATGACATTCCTCTGGTATGAGACTGGTAGTTCATCTGAAGCCCGACTGGCAGTAAACCTCATTGCCAAGCAGCACAGTGATCTAAGCTCAAAGCCGAACACGGATCCGGTGGATACCGCCAGCTGGGGCCCCTGGAGCCAGCGCACCGGTCGCCCGGCCGTGAGTGAACGGCGGGGGTCGGCTCCACTACCGGAGTCTGCCGAGCAGAAGCGCCACGGCCCAGCTGAGCAGTAGCACGGCCCAGTCGGCCAGCGGCGGCTGACCGACGCCCGCCGTCGCCCGCTTGCACGGCAGCGGCTTCTCGAAGGCCAGCAGCAGGCTGTCCACGACGTTGGAGGGCGTGCTGTCCTCGCAGAGTCGCAGACCGTCCACCACGCAGTCGTGAGCGACGAACAGCCTGTCGCAGTTGTCAGGGGTGAAGCCGTATGTCAGGCTGCCGAACTGCTCAGACACGTGCTCGGTCAGATTGTGCGATTTGAGACAGCCCTGCACGCTGTCACGTGTGGCGTTGGCCGACACACACTCCTGGCCCTTGTCCCCCAGGAAGATGGCGATACGCTCACCGTCCTGGAAGCAGAGGAAGTCGATGGCGGCGCGCAAACCGTTCATCATGTGGCCAGGATAGTCTTTGGCGCGCTCAGTTTCGTTGAGACAGGTGCTGAGCTTTGCCAGCTGAATCTCGGCGCAGCTGTAGATGATCGGTGGCAGGGTGCGACAGCGTCCCGAGAACAGCTTGTCCAAGTCGCCGTTCTTCATGTGCTGCGCGATATCCTCTTGGATTTCCGTCATGTTCAGATTGTCCTCGATGCACCGTTGGGCGCTGTTCCCGACGTCTTCCACCAGGGCCTCCGGGTCTCGCACACCCTGCTCTCGGCACTGAGCGAAGAAGCTGTTGCGGACCCGGTTTATACCGCTCTCGACATTCTCCGGCACTTTGGGAGTGACGCCTCCGGGGAATGGAGGTGGCCCACCAATGTCGGTTGCAACCTCCCCAACCAGCAGTGCCGCTGCCCCCACCAGAATGAACAGCTTTGATGAACTCATAGTAGAATCACCTGTTGAACAAACAAAGATAAATACTCGATGATTCTGACAGGAGAAACTAATATTAATTGCTCTAATGGTTTAGTTACTTTAATTTACAAAGGGCTGGCAACATAAGTTCAAACTTTCAGTGTGTCATACATGAAAAATGCAAAAGAGGATAAAAAATAAAAATAAAATAATAGTGAATTAAACTGCAATGACATGGGTCACAATCAGTGCAGACTAAAGCTATGCAGAGTTGGGATGTAGGTACTGAGTTCAGATAATCAAGTCTTGTGCCAATATTCATTGGAACTTTTTAATGCCTAGTTTTAGATAAGATATATTTGATTAATGTGATACTATCTGTTTTTGTGACTTATTAGTAGAAAAGGTAATCAAATTGATATGGTAAAAAGGACTTTAGAGAACTTGTAAGTATTGCATAATATTGCCATTAACCATGTCACACCTATGGGTTAAGGAATATAGCCAGATGAAAACTGGCCATCTCAGAAAGAGGGCTCATCTCAATGCTAAGGACACCAGGCAGGGTTCTGAAAACAGGTACTGGATGTGATGTATTATAAATACAACATATTTTTCATAATTCTGATTTGTTCATGCACCATTGTAGCATCTTCTCAAATTACAACTGCAAACTGAAGTGAAGCAGCAATCACTTAGCAGAAATCATTACCAGAGCAAGAGGCATCAGCTCAGCAATCTTGACCTACAGCAAAGATGTCAGGCAAGATATCATGGTTCATGGGCAAGGGCAATGGTCTTGCTATAACCGTCCATTTATAGACTATTTCAATACTTATCCATCTAAATACATGAACTCATTGCAGATGCAGTCCTTGTGGAAGTCAGTGACATCACCTTTAACCTTATTCATTAAATTAAAACCATTTTAAGTTGTATGAAGACAGTAGGTAGCACAAAATAATATTTCAATTTCAAAGCTTGAATGCATGCCATTTGAACTGAACTGGCAGCAGTTTCATAGGCAGCGGAACGGGGGGTATTGCCTTAATTTTGTCTTTTTTACATTAGTCTTATCACTTATGGATGTTGCATATGGAAAGAATGGGACCAAAAGTTGGCAGTACCCCCCCCCCCCCCTTCATTGAAGGTGTTCCACCACTACTGAGAGGTTTACTGAAAGCAGAAAGGAAAATCAATGGGCAAATTTGCTAACGCTTAACTTGAAAACAAAAATCAACAGTTCCATAAGATAGGTATGTACCAACATAACAGTCCTGAAAATAGCAGGTAAGGCATCAAAAAGTCAAGTCATGACACCATTCTCACCAGTATATGGACCTTGGCCAATATTCCACCTTCTTGATTCCCTCAGACAAGTCTCTTAAAGAATATGAAATTAATAGATTGTTGTTAGACTTCCTCTCTCTGGTCGGAAACACGGAGGTCCCCAAGCGTTTTCGTTTTAATTATATGAATCCAATTAGTATCACAACATGCTATAATCCAACTATCTAACATTCCCTGCCAGTAAAATGCAACAGCTTACCATTTAAAGCTGGCAAAATTGACCCCAAAACACCACAAGCCTCACCCCTCGCAACCGACGCTGACGCCATGCTGGTTACGGCGGATGAACACAATTTATAAACAATCAAGGCTGCAAAAATATCAGATGCGTTTCGCGTGCACAATTTTTTATCGCAGCCAGAAATGACAAACAATACCAAGGTTCTCAAATTGTTATGTCTAAAGCGCGGACAACTTTAAATTTGAGAAAAGCGATTATTACTCGATGAAATTCAAAGAGGTGTCCTAACCTAACCTAACCTAACCTAACCTAACCTAACCTAACCTACTGATTTTTGCCTACCGAGCTTAAAGAAGCCTAACCTAACCTACTGATTTTGCCTACCAGGCATAAAGAAACCTAACCTAACCTAACCTAACCTAACCTACTGATTTTTGCCTACCGGGAATCCTAACCTAACCTAACCTAACCTAACCTAACCTACTGATTTTTGCCTACCAGGCATTAAGGAACCTAACCTAACCTAACCTAACCTAACCTACTGATTTTTGCCTACCGGGAATCCTAACCTAACCTAACCTAACCTAACCTAACCTACTGATTTTTGCCTACCGGATAAGGAAATAGTTACTTGCAGGAATAGATTGCAGGCAATAGTAAATCAAATATTTTCAGGTTAAGTGGTCATGCATCAGGCTTCAGGCCTTCGGCCTGAAGCCAGATACATAACCATTTAACCTAAAAATATTTGATTTACTATTGCCTGTAATCTCTCCTAAGGCATTGCCTTCGGCACTGCACTGCTTCGCCACGAGTTGGCCACCGACGAAAACATGCACAGTACAGGCGAAGAAATGTTGGACGAAGAATGAAAATATGTACAGACAAAAAAATGCACGGACCAAAAAACGAAAATAAAGAAAATGCACGAACGAAAATATTTACGAACGAAACATTTCTGAAGACTTTTTCAGAAAAGTCGCTATCATTCGTCGACAGATCTGGCGCATCTCGTGAGGCGCTTTACCGAAAAAGAAAATTACCGAATTCTCTTCTATTAAAAATTAAAAATACAGAACCGTAATGTAATTCCAAAATTATTTGTGTATATCTATCACTTTTTCATAAAAATAGTACCCCCCCCCCCCCACCCAAAACCCCGGTTTCCCACAGTTCCCCTAGTGTGTTGGGTTTTATGAAGATACTACATTTCTGCGTAATGGTATTTAACAACAATTTACATGTTGACAACAGACCGTTGTGCGGCTCCACCGAGATCGTGGTAAGAATACGATTAGTTAGCTTTTGGTCTTAAAATTATCGATCAGATAACTGGAAACCACATTATTCTTACTAAACATGAGTTTCTCTATAGAATGATGTCTATATTATAGGGATTAACTAATTTTTGAAGCGGGGACCTCCATGTGTACCGCCCTCTCTCTTCCTCACGCTCTATCCTCCCACGGTAAACAGATAAACATAAACTATCCCCCCACTTCAAGCTGTGAAGCTGCTCTCTGCTCTCTGCTCTCTGCTCTTCCTTTTCCTATCAGACTTTTTGTTCAAGGATTTATCTTTCTCCGAAAATACGGCCGCATCTCGGTACTGGGCTCTATTGACGTCACGATGACATATAACTCAATGCGTCAATTAAATTGCACGCTTTTGGTTGATCAAAAGTGGATTTTTTTTCAAAATTGATACTTTGATGTCGATATCCTACTCATCTAACATTGAATAATTTTAACTAAGTAAAAAAGGTTAGGAAGTTGGTTATTAGATTTTGACGTCATGTATTCGATGTTCATCAAATTTGGTAGCTTTGCTATTTATCGACATTTATGACGCTGATGTTTCAAAACCTATTTTCGCTTACTATCCAAATTGTATTGGTTTGCTTCAGCTTTTGTGAGATACTTGCTTGGATACTTGGGCTTATTTCTAGACGCTGAATTTGTATATACAACCCAGGGTCCTCCGCACTTCAGCAAGGACCCTCGCGACGCCTCTGAGCACGCTTTACAGAAAGTCTCTGGATGCTGGAACACTCCCCCCAGAATGGAAGACCGGAGAGATCACGCCGATCTTCAAGAAAGGCGATCGTCAAAACCCCTCAAGCTACCGACCTATTACTCTCACGGCCATCCCCGTCAAAGTTCTTGAGTCGATTGTCCGAGACGCCCTCCTCCAGCACATGAGCACAAACGGGCTGCTAAACAGCGCTCAGCACGGGTTCCTCCCCAAGAGATCCTGCGCCACCCAGCTGATGGAAGCGATTGAGGAATGGAGCTCTGCTCTAGAAAATGATGAAGCGATTGACATCATCTACCTGGACTTCGCCAAGGCCTTTGATTCCGTGCCACACAAACGCCTGATTCGCAAGCTGTATGCTTATGGCATCAGGGGAACCCTTCTCAACTGGATCGCGGCTTTTCTGGTCGATCGCCGACAGAGGGTCGTGGTCCAGGGAAGTAAGTCCCCTTGGGCACCGGTGACGAGCGGAATTCCACAGGGATCGGTCCTCGGACCTGTACTCTTCACTATCTTTGTCAACGACTTGCCCTCAGAAGTGTCCGGCTCGGTTAAGCTATTCGCCGACGACACGAAGCTCTACCGCCACGTGCCTGGGCCCAGCTCAAGCCTCCAAAGGGACATCGACGCACTTGTCCGCTGGTCTGAAAAATGGCTACTTCCCTTCAATGCCCAGAAATGTAAGGCGATGCACCTCGGCCACCGAAACCCAGGCTTCATGTACACCCTGAGTGGTATCCCGATTCAAACTACAGAGGAAGAGAAGGACCTCGGCATCGTCATAGACTCCCAGCTCAACTTCCACAAGCAGACCGCCACAGCCATCGCGAAGGCTTCCCAGATACTGGCCGTTTTGAGGCGCTCATTCGCCAACATTAATGAGTTCACACTGCCTCTGTTATACAAGACGATTGTTCGCCCTCTCCTGGAATACGGAAACACGATCTGGGGTCCCTTCCAAAAGGTTGATCAGAAGAAGCTTGAACGTGTGCAACGGCGTGCAACAAGGATGGTCCCCACGATCAAATGCCTTCCGTACACCGAACGACTCCGTCGACTAGGATTGCCATCCTTATACTACCGGAGACGCAGAGGTGACATGGTGACGGTTTACCAACTGTTACACGGTGGTCTGGCAATATCACCTGAAGTCTTCCTGACACGGAGCGACTCGGACCGCACCAGGGGCCACGGGTGGAAACTCAAGAAGCCCAGGGCATCGAAACTCGTGCGCAGAAACGCATTCAGCATTAGAGTTATCAACGACTGGAACTCTCTACCAAACACAGTCACAGTGGTATCAGCCCAGTCCGTGAACCAGTTCAAGGCCCAACTGGACAAACACTGGCGCGACTCGATGTTTGACGTCCCAAACCCCTAAGAGCCCAGCCTGTATCCCGTTACGAGCTCGATGTGAGCGGGTTCCCCAGGCCTAGTGGCCTTTTATCCCGATCACCGCAAAGGTAAGGTAAGGTAAGGTATATCAAATTAGAAAGCTGTTTTGTCATTGTGCAAGACCATTGATATTCACATATTTATTTGCTGCATATGCAGAATTTCGAATGAGTAAAAAATGGGTTTGTTGTCTTCGGAATTTTCAACTTGAGCATGAGCATGCATGAGCATGCTCAAGTTGAATGCTCATGCTCAGCATGAGCATGGCCTGCATTTTAATTCCTTTTCTAATTCAAATCCACAAAGTGCATCTTTTAAAAGCTGAAATAATTAGAGCAGTATATGTTGGTGAGTGAAATCGGAAAAGCTTAAGAGCTTATCAAAGCCCTTGGGAATCCTTTTGAACAGCTTAGCACCTTGCTGTGCATACAACAGTGATCAAAATTTATGAAAGACCAAATGGCCTTTGGCGTTTCGGTCCTTTCAAATAAGACTCCATTTTAGGAGAGTGTTTTTTGTGTGAAATTGACATCATGGCTGTTATTAATTGGTCAGGTTGAATTTAATTACCTATGTGTTCTTCGCGTTTATAAAATTTATTAAACGCAAGGTGCACAAACCCCTGGATTTATAGAGGATCAGCAGCCAATAAACTCCTTGCCCATATCAGTATTGAGAAAGTAACCCCACCTACTGACCTACATGCAACATTGCATCCATCATCAGTGCTAATGTTGTATTGTATCTGAATGTTATCCAAGCAAAGCATAAAGTGTTGCATTTGCTAAGGCCCAAGCCAATAGCCATATCCAGAATGTATGAACAAATGCTGCATTGAGCACAGCAAATGATGGTGCTGATACTGAGCGCATTCTATTCATTTCATACAATTCTTTTAATCCAGAGGTGCTCTGCTGAACTTTGTATGACTCTGGAGTCTCTCTTGATTGACACTGACATTTCCTGTCATAACAGTGCCAGTTGAGTTGAATTTCAGCAGGGCAGCCTTGAAAAAGAATTAAGCAACTAAAATCCATGTTTGGCTGGGTCTGTGACTGTTTATCTCAGTTTGGTTATGCCACTTATCAGTATTTTTCAGCTTTCATTTTGATCATCAATTTCATAAAAAATGTCAAAAGGATGTAGCAGCAATCACACATGTCATAAATTTTGTTGTCATGAATGCTGTCATGTGGATGGGTCAATGACCATGTAATTACAGTGCACCATCAGGAATGCTTTGGACCATGGGGTGGTTTAATGTGCAATGTTTTTGAAGATATGAAGATAAACAACTCCACTGCTCACACAATGATTGCAGATGGGAAAGTGTAAGGTTACTTGACTGACATGTTGACATGATTACTAAGGCTCCCTGACATAATTTGAGTGGCCTTTATGTACTGAAGATTGGTGTTTGCAGCTGTGCAATGTTACAAACTTTGTGAGTTTTACATAAACATGTTTTCAAATCTTTTGTGATGTTTATGATATGAGCATTGAGCAACATCTTTATTTGTGGTTTGTAGTGATAACTAGAGTCTGGAACCCATAATAAAAGAAAAGGTTTAAAGTTCAAACTGTGTTGTGGGGCAGATGGACTCAAGATTTGTATGGATAAGTCTTAGATTTATTCCACTTCCTACCACAATATCTTCAGTCACAGACACTGATGATTTGATTACTTACTGGTGGCATGATTTTTGATCCAATATTCAACATTCAAACCATCTCACACCCTTGATTGTTGTGATATGACACATGCTTTTTACTTGTCAATACTTGATGACAGAAAAAAACATGGGATGGTTTTGATAAATATTATGAAGTGGAATATGTGTATGGTTGTTTACTATCTTTCTTCTTTTTCAGGGCTCTGTGGGTATCACTTTTTCAGAACTTTGAAAAACAAACAAGATGTTTAAAAATCCTTTATTACTGATTTCTATCAATATGGGCGATTGAAATATGAATATTTTTAAGCATCATTCTGAATGCAGCATTCTAGAAAAAGAAAATGTACTGAATGTCATGCGTTGTTGAAGCTGGTTTTCAGTGATATAAGGCCCAAAAGAAGAGGTGATGTTTGTTACAAACAAGAGGTGATATGATGACATTCCTAACTGTTCTGGAAAAAATGATGTTTTGAACCCCACATCAGATTGAAGTCACTCAATGCATTGAACTATCAAACCTTGAGGAATTCACAAGCTTCGCTCACAACGATGGATCTGCTACAAATGACAGAGAACAGCATTTGGCATGCATTCAATGTGTTGGATACAGAGCAGCATGGCAGTGTGGCCAAGTCAAAGCTGAAGGTCCTGACACAGAATCTTGGCACCCTGCTGGATCTGGCTGACCAGAAGGTGGAAATCGGATTGGCTGAGTTTCGTAGCACCAGCACACTGACGTTTGAGCACTACAAGTTTTATCTGACGCACGAGGTGTATTCGCGACTGCCGGAAGACCTCAGTCCGGAGCAGATGCGCCAGTACCAGGCGGCGGTGGAGGATGCCTGCTGGCTGCTGTTCCGATCGGCGGCGCTGAAGCGCGACATGCCCACGCTGCCCGAGGACTGCGTGCACCGTTTGTTCCGCGTCTTCTGCTGCCTCGGCGAGCTGATGTCGGATCCCGATTTGGCGCAGCAGGTCGTCATGAACGCCGGCGAGGTCGATTACGTGGCCAGTAAGTTCGTGCAGGCGCTTGGCCGCGTCTGGGATTCTGCCGACTTCAAGCAGCTGGCCGAGATAATCCATCACTTCAAGTTCGCCATCTTTCTGGCCTTTCTGGAGACGCGCTACGCGCAGGACGTGGAGATCGAGGCGCTGCGCGAGGCGGTGTCCGAGGTGTACGACCTGGTGGTGGAGGACGTGCTGCTCAGCGGCCAGCTGCACCGGCGCGCCTCCTGTCTGCGCGGCTACCGGCCGCTCTGGTGCGTGCTGACGCCGCGCGCGCTGCGCTGCTTCCGGCGGCGCGGCGACGCACGGCCGTGCCTCGAGCTGATGTTTTCGCCGCAGACGCAGGTGGCCAATCTGATCGAGCAGGCGGGCGTGCGGCCGAACCGGCTCTCGGTGACGGCCGACGGCCGGACCGTGCAGCTGGCAGCGCCCGACTACAAGACCAAGTTCCAGTGGCTGTCGGCGCTGGAGACGGCGGTGGCGTTCTCGGCGGCGCCGCAGGGCCACCAGCGGCACCTGGCGGCGGCGCGCCGCGCCGACTGGCACCAGACCGAGGCGCAGCAGCACGAGGACGACCGGCGCCGGCTCAGCCAGATCAACATCATGGACAGCACCAAGGCTGAGCTGGAGGCGGAGCGGCTGGCGCGCGCAGCCGCCGAGGCGCAGGCTGCCGAGCTCGAGATGCAGAAGGCCGAGGAGGAGCGGAAGCTGGCCGAGCTGGAGGAGACGCGACTCGAGCTGGAACGGCTGCTGCAGGAGGAGAAGCAGGCCAAGAGGGACGAAGAGCTGGTGCGCAGCGCCCAGAGCCGCCACATCCGCGAGGAGTGGGAGCGGCGCGAGGAGCTGGAGCGGCTGCAGTCCGAGCTCACTGTGATGCTGGATGAAGAGCGCCAGAAGCGCGAGGCCTTCGAGGTGCTGCAGAAGACCAAGGAGCGCCAACTGGAGGAGGCCCAGCGCCACCTGCGCGAGGTCGAGGAAGGCCGCGTCAAGCTCGATCAGGAGCTGAAGGCTGCTCGCTCCAAGCTGATCGCCGCAGAACGCTCCAAGGGCCAGGTGGAGTCGAAGCTGCGTGTGCGCGAGCGCGACGTGGCGCTGCTGGCCACTCACGGTCAGACCGGCCTGCTGCCGCTGCGCTCCGCCAGCTTCCGCGACCCGCGCGAGTTCGCCCGCCTGGCTCCCAGCAGCAGTTTCCGCGCCGAGCTGAACAACAATACGCGCGGCCGCGGCGGCGCCGGCCCCACCACTCGGCGCCGCCTGGCCGCCCGCGTGGAGGAGGCCGAGACGGACGAGGTGGACCTCTCTGAGCCTCCGGAGGTGCCACCGCCGCCGCCGCCGACGCCAGCGGCGGAACACCCGGCCGGATGAGGTAGCCGATGCCAGGAGACCGTCGGCAGAGCCGGGACAGTCCGCCGTCCCAGCGGCCCTGCAGCGTGCCGGTGGACGTCAAAGGTCGCCTCTCTTTCAGCCGGAGTCTGCCTCATCGAGATATTTGGTCAGTTCAACATGGTTGTATCTGTTTGAAGTTGATAGATTTTGATATATTTACAGATTATATTATAGTTAGAAAGATCGATATGAGTATATAGCATTCGGTGCCATTCTTGTGATGAGTGTTTTAGCTATAAATGCTATGGTTAGAAGGATAATCGTCGCTACTCGGTAAGCATAGGGACCAAATGGAATGCATTGTTCCAATGTCAAACGTGCTTCATCATCTCAGATGTTTTAATATAACTGTACTAATGTGCCTCAAATAAGTGCTTCTATTAAATGCTGCTCACATTTTTGGTTCCAAGTGCCCTGAACGTGTTTGCACATGATGTTTGCAATATGTGTTTTTCTGCGAAGTTGTTGTAGACCCTTGTTCACAAGTCAGCAATGCTTGTGTTGTCATGCAAGGTGTGTACGTTCATCGTGTGTCGGGGTCCATTCTTGTACCTCCTAGTTGATATCACCGCGTTACGGCTTCCAATTCCCAAATATGTTGTGATAAATCAACTTTCCGTCCGTTTTCAATCCTCGCGTTCCACTATATAGGCAGCTTCACCCAGATTGCCGCTAGCCGAGGCCGTGCAAGATGTTTTGCTTGTGATGTCGATGAACGCAACTGGCTATCTTTGTTTTCTTATATCGGTTGGCCTGCAGAGAGCAGGGGAGTCCAGGAATGGCAATATTATTGAGGCTGAGAATGTATTAGGTCTGCCATTATCTTAGCAACATGATGATTTACGTCTCACCCTTCGATTTCTGAATGACTTTCATGTCAAGTGCCTTGAGTGTGTGGAACGCCGTCGGCGAAGTACGATTGATCTTTTCCGCTTGTGTGACCAAGCCATAGTGTTTCCGTTGGTTGAGGTATGGCTATGGGGACTAGGGAGGGTCTTAACAGCACTTGTCACTAATGTCGCGTCTTGCCAGTATCGGTAGCACTGCTAGCAGTGCGGTAAAGCTTCTTTGACATCGGTGACGGTTCGGCCGATAGCTGGGCCGTATCGTGCCGTCCAGCGGCAGCCTGGTGCGCTATATTTGGCCGGGTCCAGCCTGCTACGGTGCGTTACAGGTGCCCGACCGCTCCAACACGCGACAACCCTCGGGCCGAGGCTCGACCGCGAGAGGGCGCTCTATATCGCTGGAGAGACGGCCGGGGCCGACCCAGCTCCGGAGACGAGACCCGGTTGTGATGACTGTGTGACCAGACGCCTTACTGTGTGCGATGTTCGATCTTGTGGTGACTTCAGCGCTTCCCTTACGACGTCGAGGCGGTGTTTTTGTATCCCTTTTAAGGTGACTGATGTTTGCGGCCCACGATGGTGCCTTATGTTGGCACCTAGCCGGTACTCAAACATTGACCAGTGATTTAGGTCTGGTACGTACACACTACACAGTACACCCGTGCGGTGTTTCTCGTCGTTCGATGTCTTCCAGCCGCTACTAATACACCCTAGTACATATGCCTTCGCAGCATGCGAAATAAATGACCAGCTTTTTACTTTTTGAATATTTTGTTTGGTATTGTATGAACGCTGATCTACGACGAGATGGTTGTTAGCTTCAACATAGTGGTGTTTGATGGACGGTCTGCAGCCCTAATTCCTGAGCCAGCATCTTTTTTATCGACGGCGACGCTGAAGTGATTGTCGCCGTGTAACTAGGTTCACGTGAACCTACTCTGTACAGAGTAGGCTGCGTTTTTCCTCGGATATTGTTAGGTGGGTGAATGTACCAAAATACCGCAGCTTTATGTCATTAGACGCATCATACGCCAATGCCCGTAAGCTCTGAATCACAAGAATGGTCTACGCGACGCCCAATGCGGGTGGCAAGCCGGTATTTTTTTTTTTTTTTTTGCGCAGAACCATAGGCGGCGGAACGGGGAGAGCACCGGGGCACCGTTGACCGTGCCCCCTTTTGATTTTAGCATTTTAACATTAGCCCTATGGGCGTCGCATGGAAAGAATGGGACCAACAGTCGGCAGTGCCCCCCCCCCCCCTTAATTGAGAGTGTTCCGCCGCTACTGCGCAGAAGTCAGATTCAGATCACCTTATCGCGGCGAGCTTGCTACGGGTTGCATACAGGGTGGAAAGTAATTACGCGAACATGTATTTTCTTACAATTTTGACCGTCAGTGGAGCATTTTTATGAGTACGGGCTGTCATGGAACATAATTGGTCGTGTTTGTTGTCGCCTCATCTACCAAAAGTGACCTAACTTTGAACAATGACCTGGAAGGTCTTAAACAACCTCTCGACTTAAAATGGTGCAGACACCATACGCTACACAAGACCGAAATGGGCAAAGAGCTCAATTTGGAGCTGCCAGGGAAAGCGTTTCTGATTATTTTCGCTGGACTGGCGGAGAAGGGATTCGTAGCGGTCTCAGCACCAGCATTGCACAATTATACGTTTTTTTAAACACAATAACACTTGAGAGGACTTAAAAAGCAAAGCCGTCCGCGGCAGCAACCCCTCGGCGAATTCTGTCGCCGGATGGGTGGTCACCATGTCGGCGACAAAACGACGCCAGGCGACCCGAAAACTGGCAAAATAGCTAACTCTGGCCGGGTACCCGATCTAGGATATCACGATTCGCACATTAATACGCAAAAATTCGAAAATTAAGTCGTACAAACCCTCGGGATGACCAAAATTCACAAATTAACAGCAGAATTGTTAATTGAAGCTTTTCAAAGACAATCAAAGATGGACAGGGGAGGACAGGCAGCTGGATTTGTGGTTGGGTGAGACATCTGTGAAACTGCTTCATCCGTCAAACCTGCAGAACAACTGCTCTGAGGGCTGCTGTTGCGTCCTATGTCCCGTTCGTCCCAACCTTCAAACATCCGGCAAAGGAACACATCAGTGGGTCACGAGCCCCCGGGTGGTGTCAGAATTGCGTGTAGCGCTAAAAAAGGTCACTAAAAATAAAGTATACAACCGGTGGAACATCCTCCAAGACGAGTGTCTCTGTCTAATCCACCGTGCAACGAAAGGGGCAAAATGATTGAGCGCACTTGTGTGCCCGACGCAAAGAAACTGCTCTTCGTGATTGGTAAAATCCTTACTTTCATGGCCAACAAAACGCAATACTGGTGCTGTGAGAACCTGTTTTTCTTCAGGACATGCAAAAGCTGATCTGGGAAACGCCTGGGCCTCAATTCGACTAAAAATCCCCAGATGACTCCTCAGGAGACCGTCTAAAAGCTGCAAGGAGCCACCAATACCGATTACCTCACTGGACAGCTCTATAAGGTGTGGGCTGAGCTTTGGCCAACAGATCTTCACATGCTGATGTAACAGTAAATCATGCCGGAACGCCTATGTCAATGCATCGCAACTAGATAAGGATAAAGTAAAACATATATTGTTTATGTCACCGCCGTTTTTTTCATTACTAGAAGACGAAAAAGTATGTTCGCGTAATTACTTCCACCCTGTAGAGATGGAAGCAACACGCACGACATATCCAAGTGAGATTCGGGGTTCGATCTTTTTGGCAAACCCTTGATGCCCTCAATACCACTCTTATGAGTCCCTGAAAGCTCAATCGTCCAGCTTCTTCAAATTTCGCATCTTAATTCCGTAGCGCATGAGCGCTACGGAAGGTTGGTGAACAATGTATCGTACGCTTTTATAATTTAGCTATCCGTTGCTTTACCATTTGTTCAAGAGTAATGAATACCAAAAACAACATGATGTATTTTGAGCAGGAAATCCGCAGACTAGTCATTAAATGCATTTTAATTTTAATTTCTTCGTGAGTTAATCAAAATTTGCCCAAATATTTCAGGAAATTTACATTCTGCGATTATAGCAAAAAAGGAACCGTACAGCCTTTCAGCTAGAGCCATCTCGCGGTGCGCTAGTGAACATCCGTGGCAACCAAGATGGAGGCGCTCGCTGTGGAGGTGCGGAGGGAGGATGGAGGCTATTACAAGGTAAATGGCTTTAGTTGATGTTTTAATTTGATTCATCAATTATTTTTTTACATACTCAACATTAAATATTAGCGAAAATCATTGTCAGTTATTTGCAAAGCCGATATTGATGTTGTGGCGGCAAAGATGGCGCACATGTGCTTTATTACCTGTGGCCGGCACCGCCTAGTACATGTAAAAGTAATTTAATATTGTGTTGCATTTGTAATTAAAATCCTTCAGACATCTGTAAAATGTTGTCCTCTTGCGTTTACTTATTAGTTTCACAGTATTTCAATAAGTTTGAGCACTGTTAACGTCCACCAGGAATGTCCCGTTGGATCAACTTGCATATGCATTTTAGGTCAAACTCTTATCAATTTGCGAAGTAATTATAAGAATTCCCACTCAGTCTGCTTTATTCAAACTGCTCAGCTAATAATCAACTCATTTCTTAGTTCTTACCCACAATTCTTGATTAGTCTGGTCTTATGTTAATGTCTGTTTCAATTGGTTTGCGACCAATTCTAACACTTTTGCTGCATTTCAGTGTTTTCAAACTGACCTTGACCATACTTTTAATTTTTACTTATTCTTTAGACTGGCTGCAGGCATATGAGCATTGCAGAACAGATCATTCGTCATTTGTGTATAAATTCATAGGTAGAAAAGCTGTTAGGTTTCCAGGTGATCCCCTTGGCTATAATTAGTGAATACCTACCCATCCTTTTTAGCTGCTGCACAACTGTACCTAAATTTTGCAATCATATGGTTAGTTCATTATGTTATATCATTTATTATATCATTATCATTATCACTTATGGGTACTTCATGATCATGTAGGTAACATTTTTCTATCAACAACCTGTTGTCAGTTGTGGCACATATCTTGGCAGCTTCAAAACATGACTACTTTCAATTCCCACCATGTTCAATTGAAATGTTCACCATAGATAAACCAACTCTATAGCCCAAAATAATGTCTATGGACAATGTTATGATTTTCCAATACTTTTACTTATTTCACCCTCCTTCTCCCACAATCATCCTCTTAAGCCAGTTCCTGAACCTGCCGCCATGCACGTTTCATGACAGCTCAGTTCATATTACCCAGTGTGTTCTGAGTGATTTGCTTCAGAGCCCCCCCCCCCCCCCTGGAATGGTGAGCAGTCTTGTTGTATACCCTCTCAACTTCGCCCCAGACAAAGTAGTCCAGGGGTCGCGGTCTGGGAAGTTCGGCGGCCAGAACAGCTCGGTCCGTGTCTGGTGCGTTCTTATGCATCCTTGCCTGTCCCGTAGCTCAGTTGGTAGAGCATTGGACTCCTGGTAGTGAGAGCCCGGGTTCGAGACGCTCCGGCGCTCGATATTTGAGACTCCTGACGGGGATGGTCTGCGGTTGGTGGGAGCAGCCGCAGCCAGTTGAAGTCAGTTGAGTGGGACAGGCCGTGTCCGGCTTTGAAGGGCACGTTAAACTTTGGCATCTAAATTCTCCCGTTACCCGGAATTGCGCGATCGGACGGTAGGGGTCGGGATCTACGCAACAAGCTCTGCTTAGCGTGGGCTCCGGCTCTGTCAATCCGTCCATTCAAACATTCGAGCTAAATTTATTAAAAAAAAAAGATCCTCTGCTATGTGCACGAGTGCCGAGTCATACTGGGGGCGTTCCACGACAAATCGACAAGTGCCCTGCACCCTCATATCTTATTTTTTGCTTAAAATTGGTCTAATGGGTTGTGATGGGCGGGGAAGCCAGCTGTGGCAAGGATTTTTTTCTTCGAACAACGGTTTCCGAGATATAGCCTCGGGCAATTCTTGGAGTTCGCGCTGCAGCCCTATGTTTGGCGGCCTATAACCCAGAAACTATTAGTTTTTACGATAAAAACTTCATATGGTTCAACTCACAATCAACCAACAAACATTTTGGCTATCTCGGATTTTCAATTTTTGAAACTTTTGATCACGTGACCTTTTGTCCTATTTTTCGAAGAGTGACCTTGATATTTTCCCCACTGAAAGATGCAATTTTGTCTGATGACGATTAAAGCCTAATCAATTGTTATTCATATGCGACAATAAAAAAGTGGTTATCGCCCTGCGTTGTTCTCAGGTCAGGTTATTTTTATGACCTGTCCATTATTACGAGCGGGAGCGACAGCGAGTCTCGAGAATAAAGCAAGATAGCGACAAGCGGTAAACGGTAAAGGGTACACACGGATAAGATCTATAATTTTTACTGAGGTCATTTTCAGGTCAGGTCAAAGATGACGTCACAGGAGCTAAAAGGAAGTCAAAATAGCGGCACTATACATATATATGAAGTTTTTCTCGAATAACTTTCAAGGTATCCTAGCTAGGAACAAACTAATAGCACCATCGTGATCCTCTCGTCGCTCCGCATCGAAACATATGTATGTTGACCTCGAAAGGTCGAAAGGTCAAAAGTTGACCTTAGGTCACGTGATCTAAGGTCAACTTTTGACCTTTCGACCTTTCGAGGTCAACATACATATGTTTCGATGCGGATCGACGAGAGGATCACGATGGTGCTATTAGTTTGTTCCTAGCTGGCATACCTTGAAAGTTATTCGAGAAAAAACTTCATATATATGTATAGTGCCGCTATTTTGACTTCCTTTTAGCTCCTGTGACGTTATCTTTGACCTGACCTGAAAATGACCTCAGTAAAAATTATAGACCTTATCCGTGTGTACCCTTTACCGTTTACCGCTTGTCGCTATCTTGCTTTATTCTCGAGATCTCACTGTCGCTCCCGCTCGTAATAATAGACAGGTCATAAAAATAACCTGACCTGAGGTCAACGCAGGGAGATAACCACTTTTTTATTATCGCATATGAATGACAATCGATAAGGCTTTAATCGTCATCAGACAAAATTGCAACTTTCAGTGGGGAAAATATCAAGGTCACTCTTCGAAAAATAGGACAAAAGGTCACATGATCAAAATTTTCAAAAATTGAAAATCCGAGATAGCCAAAATGTTTGTTGGTTGATTGTGAGTTGAACCATATAAAGTTTTTATCGTAAAAAACCAATAGTTTCTGAGTTATAGGCCGCCAAACATAGGGCTGCAGCGCGAACTCCAGGAATTGCCCGAGGCTATATCTCGGAAACCGTTGTTCGAAGAAAAAATCCTTGCCACAGCTGGCTTCCCCGCCCAGCACAACCCCTTACACCAGTTTTCAACGAAGAATAAAATATGAGGGTGCTAATTAAATTTTTTATTTGTCGATTTGTCGTGGAACGCCCCACCGGAAGATATATCCAGCTCCTCCAGTGATTTCCTGGATCTGGGGAGCACGGTGGTCTCCAGAGCCCGAGACCCTCGACTTTATCGGGCCTTTTTCGATCAGCTCGGGGAGCTGTCGCATAAGCGCCGGCGCTCTATTCTTTCCAGGTCCTGGTTCACGCTTTTTACAGTCAGAACCAGAGGTCAGCTTTTACTTGACATTTGGATCATCATCTCGCTGCTTTTCGTCCACATGCTTGGGTTTGCGATACGCCGTGCTCCTTGGGACCTGCAGGACTTAAGCTATCAGTACCTACCTACCAGTTTTCTTCATCCTGTGGTGGGGGTGGGGACTGGGGAGGGAGGCTAATTGCTAGACCTTCGCAAAAAAAAAACATTTACTATCTAGTTTGTACGTTATGAGAGGCAGCGACTTTCCAGCAGTCCAGCAGCAAAGTCATTTCTCAGGTCAACTGGTGACTTCGGTCAGGTCAGAACGAGAGAATAGGGGCCTGTTTTTTCCGCTGAATAGCTTCACCAGAAAAGGATTACAGAGCAGATATTAAAGTTAGGCAACATGGATTTTATGTTTGGCGCGTAAATTGTTATACTTTTTGTTGGGAAAAGGTCAAGCTAAGGTGTTGATCTCGGGTCAAGTTCAATGCAAACCTGCACAGGCCACAAAGTTGGTTGAAGGAAGTCGTGCTGCATATCATTCGATTCGGCAGCGCTTTTGAAGTCCATCGGTCGCTTTTTTGACTCGCTAGCTTCATTTGATCCAAAGTTTTGGAAGAAAACCCTTTGATGACCGCAAGCGACCTTAGTCCTTAGGACGATATGCGTGTATATGACGTCACGTAAGGTCCAAGCAGCAGAAGCTTAGCCCCGTGACATAAGACGACCTCGTTAGACATAAGGCGGTCGGAATCTGCGAGGAGTAAATGGAATTGCAATTCTAAATGCTGATGTTACGTGACCGACCTGACCTCGGGTAGCCTTTTAAAAATCGAAATGTTCAAGTTGTGAAGACTCGGCAGGACTCTTCCTGTAACTGTCATCTCGCTGCGAAAGATTCATTGGCCTTGCGAGCGTTACAAAGTCGCGACATTATAGGACCGTGCAGAGGTTCACTTGTCAGTGACTGTCATGGTCAGCGACCTGCTGAAAATGTGGTTAACTGGTTAGTATCAAAAGATCTGGTATGAATATTTGCGTTTTATCTGGCATTGGGTGTCGGTATGAATCCTGTTCAATCCTGTATGAATACAGTTCAAAATACAGCGACACCTCGTTTTCCTGCTAGGACACAACTAATGGGGGGCTATGGTGGTATGACGCCGCCCATGGTGCTAAGCCTCTGGTCGGACTCTGTACGAGGCGAAGTAATCCCCTAGGCTCCGGTGAAAAATTACCGACATTGCCACTTATCGATTAAATACGAAGAGAAATAATATGGTCGGTTTCTAACTGTGACGGCCGGCGATGGCAATGTTTCACGTCAGCTCAGTCAGGCGCGCTAGGTAACTGGCCTCTAATTTTCCGTTTGATTTGTGACGGTTGTCAAGTGGCAGTGCGTGTTCATCGTCCGTAGTTCACGCTCGCGCAAGGGCACTATGGTTTTGAGAATGAACGTGCCGTTGTGTTTCCTGTATCAATCATGGAACGCAGTGATTGTGTAAAGCAAAGCGGTTGGACACGCAAATGTGAACGGTGTTTTATGCCTGGTAGCATGTACTCGATAAGGTAATGAGTAAAAGTTAATAAATATTATGGATGTACATTTCAGTTAACTCATTTTAGTTAGATCCCGGGCCAAAATCTAGCCTCTACTTTTGATAGACCCATGATTACCGTCGGCTATGACTGCACCAATAACAATCATTTAAAGCGAAATGACACGTGTGTCATTGCTCTTATCCTATCAACCTCGGCGACATGGTATGAAGCATGGCACGGCAACCTGCCAGTCGGTATAAGCTCAGTTTTGTCACGCAATGTCCAACAGAAAGTAAGTGCGCTATGCCTACCGACTACTGTGTATCCATTGATCATCAGTTGCAATAGGTATTAAGTAATTATAAAGAGCGGCATAGTAGTAGCGAGGAATAATGAATAGCAATAATGAAATAGCGCCATTGTGTGCATTTTGCTTTTATTAGCCCTCGCCGGCACAGGGGGTTGCACAGCCCCCCCCCCTGCAACCCCCCTAATAATTTTCGCAAGTACCTAACTTGCGTAAAAAGCGGCCAATCGCGACGAAATTTTAAGTAGGGGAGAGTGGGGTAAGATGCCCAGGGTGGGAAAGACGCCCCACCCCCTCTAGCGGCGAAACAAAGAATTGAACCGGGAAATTATTGTTCTTAGCGTAAAGCGGAAGCCTGCCTTGTTAACTGCACAAAAATTTGCAAAGCTCAGTTGGGCAACGGCTGGCTGGTGAATGCATGTTTTTTATTTGCTGTTTTCGAAAAATATTCTGGTGTCAAAACATTGTAAATATCAAAGAAGGTGGATAATTTTTGCGTCCCTCGCTATAGTCGTGATACATTAACATGCGTGTACTGTGTCCCAAACAGTTTGTTTCAGGGTGTAGTTTTATGGCTAACAAATTGTACTGATTTAATGTTACTTCGGTACCTTGGGGTAAGATGCCCCCTGTCCTGATGGGGAAAGACGCCCCCCTAAATCCGTAGGCTGTCCTTCAAGCAGCCCGTCAAATCATTTATTACATGCTTGTGATGAGAGACAAATGCCGGTCTGGGACTATTGAGAGTCCAGTACGGTCGGGTGCTCCCCATGCCGGTCTCTCGGCCCACACAGCGACTTTTTGGGCGGCACCTGATTCTGAGAGCCCTCACGACGGCCTCGGTGGGCCCCATTATTGGCTCCAGGGCCCCTCACGACATCCTTTGAGGGCTCCCACGTTGGCTCCACGGGCCGCGCTGGCATCTGAGGTCCCCACGATGGGCTCGAGGGCCCTCAAGCATCATGAAGACCTATAAGGGCCCCACAGTGGTCTCCGAACGCCACCACGGAAGCTTGTTTGGCCGCGCTGGACTATGATGACCCTAACGATGACCTCTGAAGCCCCTTACGACCACTTTTGAGGGCCCTTACGATGACGTTTGGTGTCTACTGCAGGCTTGAAGGGACTACTGATTCGTTCAGGCGATTCACGTGCCCATTTATGTCAATTATAGTGCAGGGGGCATCTTCCCCAACGCCAGGGGGCGTCTTTCCCACCCTGTGGGGTAAGATGCCCCCTTTGGCTTCTTCAGGAAAATGCTGAATAGCAAAAAAAGTTATCATATTTCAGGCACGAAAGTGTGATATTTTTGGAGAAAAATGATGTAGGCTTCCGTTGAAACTCCAAGTTTTTGCTTTCCGATCGTCATTTTCGAATAATACATGACATAGTAAAACCCTGGGCATCTTTCCCCACTCTCCCCTACCCTCGCGTTGATCAATTTTACACCTACCGTGAAACTTTCATGACCCTGACTCATGACCTGTGACCTGCGACCTACTTTACGAGACCATGTTTGGCCGGAATCGCGATTCGGCGTGTGTCGGCCCGCATTAGCCGCGCGTTTGCAGTCTTTTCGTGGTTTCGAGCGTTCAAACATGTGATTTGATGCTGCTCCCATGCATTAGGGTGGATGTCAAGTTCACCTGAAGGTCAGGTCAGGTCATTGACCTTTAATGACCTCGGCTCACTCAATCGAGTTTTACATGTTTCTAGACTACTTTGGAGCTGAATTCCAATTTAGCAACCATTTGAACATTAACGAAGTAGCATTGGTGCCTTCGTAACGTGTTACGAAGCTGTCGGAGGCGGTTGATACGTAGGTACTACGAATACCCGGCAGGACCGCTACTGGTTGACCTGACCTGACCTGACCTGACCCGACCTTGCCTAAATTCATAAAGACATCATCTGTGATAAAAACTAACATGATATTCGTGATTAGCACCCCGAAAACCTCTTAGCAGGCAGCAGCCACACTTGACGACGTTGTAACAGGTCCCGATTTTCCCGACTTTTGGGTCATTGACCTGATCTGGAAGGTCAACCGATGACCTAAGACCTTAAAATTGGGTATCACTGGCTTTCTCTCGTCACGGGTCACACGCTCGTTTTTTTTCCGCACAGCTCTAGCTCGATCTGTCGATCTGGGACAAAAGGCGAGGGGTTCGGACCCCCCCCCCCCCCTGTCCCGTCGAAGGACGCAAAATGGCCTGTGCCAGCGAGGGTTACTTACGGATCCCTCACCATATCACATGATTTCGAGATACGAAGTACCTATTTCGATATTTTGTACTGAAACGTCGTCATGTACGTTGATGTCAGGATACACGGATAACTGACCAGCGACGCCTGGCTGCGTATCATTTGTCCTGCTGACTTAGGTACACACTTACACGGTGTTTTCTTTTTTCACAGGCATCTGTCATCGATGCTTGCAGATCAGACTCGGTTCGTGTCAAGTTTGACGAGTGAGTACCTAGCAACGTTTATTATTTGTTGAAATGCAGATGCGGTATCATGATTTAAACCCGGTGCTCTCTTTTTTCTTGATGATGTAATAATTGTGTTTATTGTAAGAAATTTGTTTTATTTGTTGCTCCTCCGCCTAAGTAGACTATACCATTCTATTAGAACCACTAAAATGTGCGTTTTTATGTCTAGCGAAGATCCGCTGGTGACCCGGTCGGTGACCGTTTGACCCTGTCACGACCACTGACCCCTCGGTGACCCCACGCTGTCCTCCGCCGCCGGCAGTGGCCAGCTGGGCGAGGTGGACGCCCCGCTGGCGCAGGTGCGTCTGCCGGCCTGCGAGCAGCAGTGTCCGCCACCAGCCGAGGGCGACCAGGTGGAGGTGTACTCGCGACTCAAGGAGGACCTGCCGCTCGGCTGGCACACCGCCGTCATCAAGGTCGGTGCCGGCGGACTCTGGATGGGGACGGAAGATGGAATGGAGTGGGCAGATTGCAGGGAACGAAGGGCTGGGGTGGAAGACTGAGGACCGTCCAGTGACGGTTCTCCGGTCTGACAGTGTCCAGTCGACGAGGGGAGATGTCTTGAGACATGTGTCCGTTTATCGTTTACGTGTCCCGGCATGTAACTCTGCCTTGGCGGTTCGTAAGTGCCTTAACCCTCGCCCGCATATGGGGGGGGGGGGTTGCCACCCCCCCCCCAGGCAGTCTTTCTGCTCTGCACTCAACATTTTTAGAGCTAGAAGGCTGATTTTTCGTATAGCTGCTCGTCTATCCTTTCTTGATGTCCACTGAAAATGTCAAGTTTCTGTGATTTTTGGTTTCGGAGATATGACCTTGTTTTTCAGGTCATGTCATGACCCAAATGGCCAATTCTCAACATCTTGCGTTTGCCATGGGCCTTGTGAGCTTTTGACACCCTGATTTCGGCCTTTTTTGCCAGTCTTACCTCCCACCTATCATGGAACATGTTGTTTGACGATGTACAGGGGTCAAGGTCAGGGTCAAGGTCAACCTAGGTCATCTAAGATAATTGCGTTTTAGGCAAGCTGAATTTACTTTTTGTGAAGTTTTTTGACTGCATTTTTGGTAAAAGCTTCTCAGATCATGATTTCATGTGATATGGACCCAAAAACCATCGGTGCACACATCAGTATACACACAGACACACACAGACATACAAACACATATAATTGACCTTGACCTAACTTGACCTGAAATGACCTCAGCAGCAAAATTCTGGTCGGATAGTGTGAAAAAGAGGTTCTAGCTGGCTTGGCACCAGAAAACAGCATCGTCATCGGTATTTGATAAGCAGCGCACTTGATATCCAACGGTGACCCAAAACAGCAACATTTTTTAGTTTGACCTGACCTGGAAGGTCAATGACTGACCTGAGAAGGTAAAACTGGGTATCATTGGATTCGTCTCTTCCCAAAGAATCTTTTTGGTCTTTACTGCTAAGCTCTATCTCCAACAGGAACGAAATGGCGCGGGGGGGGGGGTGGCAACCCTCCCCCCCCCCATGTGCGTTCTAGGATGGGAAAATGGCATGTGCGGGCGAGGGTTAAGGCTGTTTGCTGGTAATGTTGACAGTTGCACTCGGCGGACAGTCACTAAATGCACCCAGCTATCTATAGCATTTAGAATTCATCGCCCATTCCCCCGTTTCCCCGTTTCCACTGTTAAACACTAATGAATTCGGATAGACATATGCTAGCGTCTTTAATAAGCTCATTAGGGCTAAGTGATGTGAAATAATGTCAATTTACTCTAATTTTTATCGGTGCTGTATCGTGGAAGATGTTTGACACCTCCGTCGCTTCAGTCCGGGATCGGCAATAGCTGATAACGTCTGTCTTTGTCCTCTCAGATTGTGAACGGTGGATGAACACCTCTGTTGTCTCAGCTCGCGATTACGCCTGTCTCTGTTCTCTCAGATCGTGAAGGGCGACCGGTGTGTGGTCGAGTTCACCGGCTGCTCGCCCGAGAGCCGGCGCACGGACATAATCGGCCAGGACGAGATCCGGCCGGCCAGCACGGCGCCGCCCATCACCGCCAACACATTCTTTTCCTGCTACATCCCCGTGCCCGAGGACCTCCAGGAATAGTGAGTGGACGGGCGCCCAGTCGCATAGTGGTAAAGAGAACTAAAGTGAGAATAAATGATTATCTTGTGACAGATTCAATGTGTAATGGCTTATAGGAGATGTTAATTTGAACACCCACTCAATTTGAACACAATTTGAAAAGTGAATGAGGAGAATGTACGAAGAAGTGAGATGCTGTCATGGTTAGTGGCACTCTCCTTTTTGTATAACTCTGAATTCCATGCTGATTTTTTTCACTTTTCAGTGCACACATTCAGAGTTGTGCCGCAGACTGTAATGTTCCAATATTCATTTGATTCTTATGTTTCAGTGCACACCTTCAAAACGCGCATAAGGAGTTCCAGAAGGCGTGTGGCGCGGCGGTCTGTAAATATATCCCCGACAAAGGCAGTATTTTCCTTATGGTAAGTCAACCTTTTTTGGAGTGTTTTCGCTCTTGAAACATAGTTCGATGCTGATCTTATTTTACTGAGGAAAAAATAGCCAATTGACAAATAGAAAACATAAACCGCGTGTAACTAAATAGTATCTTCACTAGCATGCAGGGATGCGGAGCCGCCGGAGCCAGCATATTTTGCCCGGAGCCGGAGCCGCAGCCGTGAAACAATATAGCCTGGAGCCGGAGCGGGAGCCGTCAAAAAAGGGGGCGACTCCGGCTCCTTTTTTTTTTTTGAAGGGGAAGAATTATTTACCTAGTTCGGTTTGACAGTACAACGCGTTTTTTAACAATGTGATATTCAAAATAGCCTTGTTATGCAAATAAAGAAGCAACGTGTACCAATCCCATCGCCTTTTTTTCTTCCACCCGTATTCAATTGATTGCATAGGGGATGTACCGAGTAGTTAGGAGCCGGAGCCGGACCATTTTACTCGGAGCCGGAGCCGGAGCCGCCATGACATTTCACCCGGAGCCGGAGCCGGAGCCGATTTTTTTCTCCGGAGCCGGAGCCGTCTGAAATTTCCACGGCTCCGCATTCCTGACTAGCATGTGTATTCGCCTGTATGTTCCATGCACTTGGTTTTGTTCTGACCCACGTTACGCCCGTGTCTGATCTTCCCAGGCGCGAACGGCAGCCGTCAAAACGCGCGCCGACCTCCTGTCGGAGATGCACTTCCGCGGTCTGAAGCAGAAGGCGCTGCTGCTGTCCCGAACACAGGAGGCGTCCCGGCACCTGGAGACCAGCAAGGCACAGACACGATCCGGGTAGGTGGCAGGGCTCGGGGGAGAGCCAATCTCCCGTCTCGGGGGGATGGGGTAGTCTGCTGCCGGCGAGGAGCCGATGACCACTGTAGTCCGGGCGCCCAAAAACCCCAATTCATCATCATCATCATCACGAGGACAGTTGCCTTCGGCGAGAACAGTACATATGTCTCCTTGCAAGGGTTTTCGTGTTGTTGTTTTTTCTTTGTTCTTTTTTGCGCTCTGTGTAGATGATCAATGTTGCATTGAATATCCATGCTCCCTGTCTTCTGTAGCAGTACGCAGCAATGCGCAGTGGACTGTTTGTCACCTAACTGGTGCCGTGGCCTGTCTGTTGTCAGTTACTCGGAGGAGTTCTCAGTTGTGGAGGACCTGATGGGCCTGGCGATTGGCGCGCACGGCGCCAACATTCAGCAGGCGCGACGGATCGAGGGCATCACAAACATTGAGCTCGAGGAGAAATCGTGCACTTTCAAAATAGTCGGAGAGGTAAGTTTCAGTAGCTGCTTTTGTTACCTAAGCAATTTTTCTTAGTCGTCTGTTATGTTGCTCAAACATTTTATTTGGTAGTGCTCAGTTAGCCAGTCTTTGATTAATTTATTCATGCATGCCAGCCATCATCGAAATCCAATACCTAAACCTTAATAGAATTGCGAATATGTGTATTGTGTAAGCCCCATTTTTGCGCTCACGCCCACCTGGCCGTCTCTGACTGCGCTGTGACCGCTGTCGTCCCTCCCCCAACAGTCGGAGAGTGCCGTGAAGAAGGCGCGGAGTCTGCTCGAGTACAGCGAGGTGTCCATCCAGGTACCGCGGCAGCTGGTTGGGAAGGTGATCGGCAAAAACGGGCGCATGATCCAGGAGATCGTCGACAAAAGTGGAGTGGTGAGTTTCGCAGGAGTAATAGCATGTATATTGTATAACCATTTTACAAAATGTACGAGTAATCATACAGCAACGGGTAGTCGCCTCGGTGCTTACTGCGTTTGACTTTCTTAGTTCATTGCCCGTGTGGGTTTGATTTAGTCGTGTCTTTGTGCGCCTTTGCGGGTCCCCGGCTGCGCAGTCCCCGTTCGGGCACCGGTAGGCACGCCAGCCGCGGACCGGTGACCATTGATTACCTTTTGCACCAGCCAATCACCGGCGGGACTCGACTCGCCACCGGGGGGAACTCCTGTGGCGCCACTGACGTCCGACCCGCGGCCGAACGTCAAACGAATTTCCTACGGCCGTGCCGATGGCAACTGACGTCAAACACCGATGAAAAATGGCTTAAAACATTGACCGACCCCGATGGAAATGAACGTTAAACACTCGCCGACCGCGATGGCGACTGACGTAAAACGCTGACTGATTCCCCGTCCCCTATCCCTCTTCAGGTGCGAGTGAAGATCGAGGGAGAGAATGAGCCGAACCCGAGCACACCGCGCGAGGAGGGCCAGGTACCGTTCGTATTTGTCGGCACCATGGACTCGATCGACCTGGCTCGGGTGCTGCTCGAGTACCACCTGGCGCACCTGCACGAGGTCGAGCTGCTGCGCCAGGAGAAGCTCGACATCGAGCAGCAGCTGCGGCTGGTGAGCGGGCCGGCCGGCGGCGCGCCCTACCCGCCGCGCTCGCGCTCCGAGCGCAGCTACAGCGTCGACACGGAGGGCAGCGGCGGCGGCCGGGGCCGCGGTGGCCAGCCCTACCGCGGCGGGCAGCCTTACCGCGGCCGCGGCGGCCGGGGTCGCGGCCACCGCGGCGGCGCCGACCACCGAGATCGGAACGCAAAGAGCGACAGGTAAGCAACGTGTCGGGGGCCCTTCGGTCCATCGGATCGACTCGGCTAGTGACCAAAACTGGAAAGACGTGGCGGATTCGGAAAACGTAAACTAGCGCTTTGTACAAAAGGATGCGCACATAATGGCAGGGTCTAACTGGAAAGATATCCTGTGAGTCACATGTGCATGTCTCGTCAATTCGCTACCGGTTCACTCTGGGGTTTCCTTTTCGTCTGCGTTAGCAATGCCGCTCACGCATTTTCCGTTCTTTAACAGGTACAACGGTCACTCCAATGGCGGCAGCGGGGAGCCGGGCGACTGGGACGACTCTCAGCCGGCGTCCGGAGGCGGCGACTGGGAGGAGGCGCCGCGCGGCTCCGGCTGGGACGGCGTCGACGAGGCGGCTGGCAGCGGCGGCGAGCCCGACGAGGGCGCCGGCCGAGGCCGCGGCGGCGGCGGCCGGCCGCAGCGGCGCCGTGGCCGCAAGTAGACGACCAGCGAGAGAAGAGCCCCGCCCGCCGCGCCTCCCGGCCGCGCCTCCGTCCGCCGCGCACTGTGCCGGGCCGACCAGCAGGCCTGTGTGACACCCCCCGGATCGGACACCGACCGCGACAACAGCCGACCGCCGCCGCCAGGCTGTACCTTCAATGTTGTGTGAGTGCTAGCCCGGAGACGCTTGCAGAAGTTATGTTTTCTCACAGATAATTCCCTTTCTTGGCCCGATCGGTTGGGTAGCTACTAACCCGGGGAGCGCTGCGGGCCGGCGCCTCCCGGCCCGGGGGACGCCGGCCCCACCGGCGCACCGCCAGGCGGCTGGCAGTGACGTGCCCAGCTCTGCGAGCAGCCCGCAGCTCGACTGTACATAATCCAAATATCCAATGCATCGCTCCTACTTTCTATCGTATCGTCGCCGAATCGAGGCGTGCCGCCGCGCCGCCGCGGACTGACCTTCCCGGGCGCCGGTCGGCCATCGTGACCGGCGCCTTGACGCCACCGCCTCCGCCGGCGCCGCCGCAGGAGAGCCGAACCGCGGCCTCCGGGGCGCCGCGGGCAGAGCGAACACCGAGGGAGAGGAGTGAGGAAAGGAGAGATCACGAGTGCCAGCGACTCAAACGGTCGCCGCCAGCACCCGCCGACACGTCGAGCTTACGCCGGGGAAAACAGCACAGAAAATGCTCAACTGGGGAACCTCGCCTGCTTTGGAAGTGTTCGTACATGACAGGGTTTAGTCACGGGGCTTGTTGATGCCCTTTTGTTAGGTTTGGGGCTGTTTCGGTGTTGTTTTTGCCGAGCGTGAGCTCGTGTGCCGGCGGGTCACGCGGCGAGAGTTGTGATTCTCTCTATGTCTGAAATTACACACATGCTGACCCGACACGCGTCGATTAGTTATCAGTTCGACTTCCGTGTGATTCGATTTTCTAATAAAGATCGTTGCAATACAGTAGCTGCGTTTTCGACCATACGTTGGATGTTGATCCGTGGTTCATAGAAACGGGACCATTGAAGGATCCGTCCTTTCCCACTTCTCGAGATTTGGCACGGTTTCCGAGGTCTCTAATGCGAAAACTGCCGAGGCCTTGCCTGCGACACTGGTAACTCACCTCCCCTCCCCCCCCCCCCCCCACACACACATATAGCCGATGCTGACTAGCCGAGCGTCCTAGCCACAGGGAGCAGCAAGAAAGCGGGGCGCCGTGAACATTGATTAAATGATAACCCACGTAGGTAGGCAGTGGCGGAGAGTCGGCCTGAACGGAGGTGGAGGACGGCAGCCACCGGCTGTAGCGCAGCCTCGTTCTGCTGACAGGGCCCTGTTTCACGACACGCAGCTGCCTGACGCTACCGGGTATTGGCCTCGGTTTCCATTGAAACCTAAGCAGAAATACCCATTTTCGCTTACGTTTCCATAGAAACCAAAGGCCGATAGCTGGTAGCGTCTGCGTCAGCTAGCGCCATGCACTCAAAATAGGCCGCCACCAGCCCCAAAGAGTTAGGGAGGTGTGTTGACGCTGGCGAGGGACGATACTCGCACAGCGAAACTCCGTACTCCGTACCCCCCCCCCCTCCCACCCGACCAGGCCCCAACACCTCTGCGTCTTGGTGACGGTGCATGCGTTCAAGACCCTTGGCCTCGCGGTCTACAACATCCACGCGCATGCAGTGCGTTGGGCTACAGGATTACAGGCTACAGGTACCCAGAAGCAGAGATTCCAGACGGACGGGGTCGGACTGGTTCATCCTGCCGTGGCGTGTGGTGATTTCATCGCACATAGCCTCAGCTGGGACGCCCATCAGCCCGAAACAGCCCTCGAAGACGCTGTTGAGGACTTGGCCGTCGACAACGGCATGACCGTCCTCAATGACGGCGGGTGCACTAGGCAAAACCCCAGTACCGGCGGAGTCTCAGCACCAGACGTCTCTCTGGCCTCCAGGAGCCTCCTGACTCGTAACACTGTCTTCATCTGTACACCGTCCACGACAAGGAGGCCGAGACCGGTGTGTCCTACCAAAGTGCAGACTGGCCGCACTTCGGAGAGACGCTGGACCAGCTGATTGTCACCTGGTCAGCCCAGCCGACTTCGGTGAGCGGAGCCGCCACGGCTAGCAGTCACTATCCTGCAAGTGGCCAGGGACAGCATCCCCTCGGTCTGCCAGGACGCCAACGACAAGTGCGAGGAGGCACGGGTGACAACATCCCGTAGCCCGAACCGATTCCGTGCGGACGTTCTGCGCTTCCAGAGGGAGCGGGCAGCGACCGACAAAGCCGTGGAGCGCGAGAAGGCTGCCTTCTTCCGTCAGAAGGCGACGCTCAGAACTCAATCTGGACGAAGACACGTAGCACCTGATCTGCACCATGGAAGGCCAACTATCTCCACCTAAGCCAATCGTAGCCATCTTAAGAACGGGTAGGGCGGGACAACCGGTTCAAACGACGAGGCCAGCCGTCAACGACAAAGAGAAGGCGGAACTCTTTTGTCAGGCCTACACGCAGGTGTCCCGCCTACTGCAAGACAATGTCTCGGATCACGCCATCAAGACCCAGGCCAGACGAACCACGAGCCAGACGTGTTGCAGCGGCCAGACGTCGAGCCAGACGTCGCGACTCGTGCGACCAGACGGCCAGACTCGTGCAACCACGAGCCAGACGTCGCGACACCTTCTCTTTGTCCTCCCGCCGAGAGCTCCTCGGCATCAGTAAGCTGCGGAAGTGACGCATCCCCGGAGTCGATCAAGTGACAAACGATATGCTCTAGCATCTTAGCCCTTCATCGGAACGCTATCTGCTGGAGGTGCAGAACTGGAGGTGGCGTACCGGGAAGGTGTCTGTGTCATGGAGGACGGTGGAAGAAGTCGCTATTCCCAAGAAGGGGAAGCCGCCGACGGAGTCCGGCAACTTTGACCGAGCAGCTTGCTCAGCTGTGTCGGGAAGCTCGCCGAGCGACTCGTGCATCACCGCCTTCAGTACTGGCTCGAGCGGGCCGGCAAGCTGATCCGGAACATTTCGGCTTCCGAAAGGGTCATTCACACTGGGGACCATCTTTGACGGCTTCGAATCCAATAAGCCGCAGCTAGCCATCTTCGTCCTGGACCACGCCCGAACGTACGACCGGGTGTGGCGGGATGCATGCGCTGTACTCGTAAGGTACGGCGACTGAATGTACCGGGCTGTGCCACACGCTTGATGAAGGCTCTACTCAGCGACCGGTGCGCAAGACTGAGATGAAGCACGTCGACCTTCCGGGGACGAGTCTTCCAGGAGGATTTGCCGCAGGGTAGTGTGCTTGATCCTCTGGCTCGTCTACTGCAGCGACATCGACGACCGACTCCAGGTGAGAGAGCGAACCCAATAGTGCCGCTCTTTGCAGATGACATGGCCCTTCTCGCGATGGGCTGCTCTTTGCAGAGTGCAGAAGTGCGCGGATGGACCGCCGTAGCGTCCGTAGCACACGTCTGCATCGCTTACAGCAGCTACGTCCGCTCCCCCTTCAACTACAGGTTGGCCATCCACTTCACTCACGCGGCACTGGCTGTTCGCGAGTGTCTGGAAGAAGAGGAAGCAGCGAAGCTTGCGCGTCTGATTAGGTACCGGCTGCGTCAAGCTCACGGATGATGGCAGCGGAAGCAGGCCTTCCTCCCCTGTCACTCCGCACCAAGGAGCTGGCAGCCGGCGAGTACGTGCACATAGGCCGTCTACCTCCAGGAGATCCCGCTCACAATCTCCTGGACAAGACACCACCACCGAAACTCCGCTAACGTGCCCACAAAGCATGGAGGTACGCGGTAACATCTGCCGAAGAGGCGGGACTGCCACTGCCACCGCCAGCAAACAACGCGACCCTGCCCCACAAACCATTTCTTCTTCGGTCGGTAGATTTACCTGCGACAGGGTGGGCCTGAGTAACCTCCCAGTGGAGTCCCTGGCACTCTGTTAGGGCGCACCATCCTGGCACTGCTGTGGAGACGCCGTCCGTTTTGTGCTGGACCTGCCGCAGCCCACAGGGAGGACAGATCCACAGAATTGGTTTTTGTTTCTTTTTAGGAACCTATCCACCGGACGTGGTGTCTATCCATTGGACGCGGTGTGTCCACTGCACGTGGTGTCTGCTCACTGCATATGCATTGCCTGTCTGTCTCTGCACGCCTGCATCTGCTTGACGGCTGCTTCGAGTGGCGCTGCATGGACCCCTAAGCATAGGGCATGATTGTCTGCCTGCACCTGCGCACTGCATTTGCCCTACTGCTCATATGCGTCTGCCCGTCTGCACCTGCCTGCATGCGCACTGCTCAGTAAGATGACAATAAAGAGTCACCTGTGGGTTGAGTTACAAAGATTGGTCTGAACGGTTATCACACCCCCATCGGCCGCGCCGCAGGAAGGTGAGCACTGGACCATTGCGTGCATCCGGTCATTACTCACTGTCCAACGAGTGGTGTCACGTCCGAGCCGGTCGCGCCGGTGACAGGTGCGTCAGTTACATCGTCGGTGCGTCGCTGGTGCTCTGCCGGCAGCCAGTCGGGCACACGGGCTGACCGGACAGAGACCATTCCGTGGGAATGATGAGGCCTGCGCGCGTATTCCTGCTGCTGCTCGGCCTGCTGGCCGCGCTCGACGGCTGCGACACCTCTGACCTGTACCGATTTGGCTCTGGTACACGGGCTGGGGTGGCCCACATCAGGCGGGTGGTCAGCTCCCGCCTGCACTGCGGCTTCCTCTGCTCCAAAAGCTCTGACTGCTTCGTCTGGAGGTACACACAAGACACCGGCACTTGTCAACTGTTTAACATGGGTTCCATCTCCGAGTCAGCAGCCTACTTCGCGCCGGTGCCGCCGCCGAGTGACTTCGTCATGGGACCGGACAACATCGCCTATCTGATGGTGCCTACGCTAATGGATCGCTCGACGGCCGAGCAGCACTGCCAATCGCTGGACCCACGACCCACGAGGGTGGAATGATTGTGTGAGTGGATGGATGAATGTGGTGACAAATCACCTGAACCTGGCAGAAAGGTCGTTTTAACTATTTTAACATGGAGACTGGAGGAGTTATTTGCTATCATTGGAATTTCTGACTGTTACAATTTCACAGTATATCAGTTACTGGGTTGCTCCTGGACCAGCACCTGACAGTTGACATGGAGTTATGTTATGATACTAACTGGTGTGAAAAGACAGACATGGTAACAAATAACAATGAAAACGACATGGAGCCGGAGGCAGGTATTGGTTGTAATTAACATCAACATCAACTACTTCATAAGATGGGCTGTCTCATGACATCTGCTTCCTCAACAGCATGCTCATAAACACCTACAAAATCATAGCAACAACACAGCTTGTGATCACTAGCATGTATGTTAAACAAAATCAAAATGGAATAGCAACAAAAAGTACAATAACTGATGTCAATTTAGCACTTCAATTTGTGTGCAAATTGTGATTTGTTGCCTGTTGACCAGTGATGGTGTGTCCAATCGGAAATGGCTAATCACAATAAGAAAATAAAATATTTCACTTATCTTCAATATTGCTAGCCTGGATTTGTGTTTACCTAAAATTTATCCAATGCTGCACTGATACTCATTGCCTGTCACGTTTCTCACGTTTCATTACCCAATTAAACTCACCACATCACAAAATGACTCCTTTCCTACATGTTTCCACACGCCTCCCCCTCGTATTCTCTCACTCTCTCGCTCACTCTGACCTTCAAACACCACAAGCAAACGTAAACAATGAGTAGGTAGTATGGAAACCACGTGCTAACTTCATTCATAAAATAACCTTCAAATGATACAAACAAAATACATGAGTTACCGTGGATTATCACGTGACCTTATCAAGTTTTTTCTTGCCAAAGTTAAAACAATACAAATCACAAATAACCTAAAAACAAATAAAACAAAATACAAATGAATCTTCTTGCCATGATGTTCTATCCTT